TGGTTCTTTTTTTTTAAACACAAATAAGGTTTTTCTTTACCTTGCTGACGTTTCGGAAGTGACGCCACCATCAGCGTCAGCTCTGAGGACGTTTGTAGCCGCAAACAAAATGTCAGCAAGGTAAAGAAAAACCTTATTTGTGTTTAAAAAAAAATCAAAAATGGAATTTGGAGAAGATGCTGCCATCACTCCGTGCACTTGGTCGTCGTGTGCTTTTCCAACACGACAATGATCTAAAACACACATCTAAAGGTACTCTTGCATTTCTGAAGAAGAACAGGGTGAAGGTGACTGAATGGCCAAGCATGTCTCCTGATCTGAACCCAATCGAACACCCGTGGGGAATTCTGAAGAAGCAAGTTGAGCATCACTCTCCATCCAGCATCCAGGCTCTAAAAGAGGTTCTTCTTGAAGAATGGAAAAAGGTAGATGTTGCTATATGTCACCAACTTGTTCATTCCATGTCTAGAAGACTTGGTGATGTCTTTGAAGATCACGGTGGTCATTCAAAATACTAGATGTAGCAATTTTGCTGCAGGGTGTATTCATTTGTGCTTCAACCAATTTTAGTAAAACTGAATATTTTGTGATCCAAGTTATATTATTAACCTTAATTTCATGTTATTGAGTTAAACAAGTGTTCAATAAAACCCAGCCTTGTGAAAATTCTGGAAATTGTTCTTTTGTTCATTGAGCTACTAATTAAATCCTACTTTTTAAAGGGGTTTACTCATTTATGCTGAGCACTGCATATCCATGGCATTTGGGGTCCTCCTGAAAAACATGTGCCCATACACCACAAAACTAGGACTGTCTGGAGGGCAATTACACAAAAAGAAAAACAAGTTAATAAACCTGCCTCTAAACAGCCAAAATCCCAGGTTGTGCATGAAAACAGGACAAACCTAAACCTGAAAAACTAATAAAAATGATCTAGTGTTTGCATCTGCTTTTTGTGTTTTCTGTGTTTCACCTTAGTGCAAAACAGATGTTCCAAGTGATTTAAAAATCAAACTACTGAAGCTTTTAGTTCTAATTTCTTCGGACTAATTCATTTAACTTAGTCCGTGGAAGCAGCAGTACCTCAAGTCCTAAAACGCCAAAGTAAAACACAAAAGCATCATTATAAAACCCTACAGGAACTCATGCCTGGGTGTCACTGTGAGGAGTTACTATGTTTATCTTGTTCTTGTGTTTCAGCAGTGTGGGCTTTTATTAACCCAGGTCAGTTCAAGGAGTGACTTGTAAACAAACTTAACCTAAAAATTGGGTTATTAACCAATCAAAGCTGAACTAAGCATTAGTGCTGTTAGATTGGATTGATGCATCTAAAAATGCACCATGTTGTATAAAAATATTGTCCTCTGCATGTCACAAAAGTCAAAGTCCCTCTCAAAACTAATAAACTAATCTGATCAGATAAAGATGCTGGGCCATCCACACAAAATTTATTGTGGCACCATCTGGTGGTTAATATTAGTCTTGCATTCCTATGTTTGGTAAAAGTAAACATCAGCCCTCATCACTAAAGACCCAAAAGATGAAGTGATCTGTGAGCAGTAGAGTGGAAGCTGCAGAATGACAAGTCACCACTGGGAGCAGAAACAAAGATGACAGGAAATTTTCTGCCATCACCATGGCAACAACTAAGGAAGAAGGCTAAATTTTTACCTCTGAACACAACATTGAAGATGTGGCATCCAGAAAAAGGTACAAAATAAGTTAATGACACTGGATGCTTATAAATTTAAATGCATTCCGGGTTTCACAGGTGATGGAAAATACACAGAAACCCTCAGTAGCATCATTGACTGTTCTGGTTTAGAGGACATTCAGTTATCTCCAGCCGGACTAGAAAACCATCAGAGCTAACAGAAAATCTGAATGGAACCAGGACTCTGGCTTTACTACATGATAACCTAAGTGACAGTGGCAGGAAGAAACAAAAGAGGAAGAACGGATCAGGAGGAGGGACTGACCTCAGCAGAGCCACATACAGACGCCAGCTGAGCTATTGTCCATGATTATAACAGGAACTCTGTACACATGTCACACACACAGAAAACCATTACCCAACACTCCAAATAATCTAGATTTTAAATCAAACATTTCTTTTTTCTCAGGGATGCATTTGTGTGGAAAGGTTTTCCTGTCAACTTTTAACATCATGCATGTTTCCTATAAAACATATTTCCATCCTCACACACGGACCCAATCTTTTACCTCATCACTAATGAGCTCCAAATGCAGGTCAGCCTGCTTCCAGCTGGACGACCGTATGGATGTTCGGGACAGCGTTCGAGCATCAGACCCAGGACTGCTCCAGATAGGATTTAAAAATGAACGACTATGCCAACTAAAATTAATCTATAAGATGAAAGTTTCCCCACAGAGAGGAATCCTCAACCTCTACCTGACTAGCACAAACACAGATGGATAAAGATCTTTCTAAAAGCTTGAGGGTAGTGAGAATGAGGCATAGTACTTGTTTTTTTGTGTCTGAAGGTTTCTGATGATCATGCTGCCATCTAAAAACAGCATAACCACGTGAACATGCCAGAAAGCTTCTCGAAATAACTATTAGTCCTTGAAACACTAAACATGTAAGAAACAAGTAGCTAAAAATAGCAAAGCGGCATACGCATGCTCACTGAAGAATCCACTTCAAAAGGTTTCCTGGAGGCTTTAAAAAAAGCATCATCAAGAGAAACATAGTTAAAGCACTTACTCGCCTCCACAATGGACCAGAGAGAGAAAAAAAAAAGAGTGGTATAGCACATTTTAGCTTCTATGAATTAATGGATACCAACTCATTCTTTTCATTTGGTCAAGAAATTCAGTGCATGAATAAAATGGCACTATGATATCTACTCAGTCGGAAATAAGTTGCACAGCTGGTATGTTCTTGAAGTAGAATTGAGGTCACAGCTGCATAGTTAAAAAACAAAGCAGCATCCATCTTCTAAACCAAAGAAAGTTAGGGGGAATTTTAATTTCACAAGACTCCTTTGCCTTGCCCTTTTCCTCTCCAGATTTGAATATTTTAGTATTCAAACCAGGGGCTCAGCGGACGCTGTGAACATGAGCTAATTTGCCTTCAGTCAACCAGAAAAAGTCCTGTCCTCTGACTCTTTAGCTTCCATGCTCTTCTCTCCTAAAAGCAAATTAGGAATTGAACAAAAGCGCGTAAACATTGACAAACAAGGTCTTACATGCTGTTCTGCTTCCGAGGAGAGCTAAAGGATCCTTCCCTGTGCTGGCTGAGGGAGCCCCCCATCGCAAAAGCAGCGTCTGTCTGTTTCTGGTTTATCCCAGATGCTGTTTCCCAATTCAGCCCTTCACAGGTTCACCTCTTTCTCAGATCCAGACTACAGCATCATCACTGCCTTGTGATGGGCTGCTTCTTATGACCAGTTGCTGTTTAACCAGCCAGCCTCTCCTCTTATCGTCTCTGTAAACGCTCTGCAGAGTCAGGATTACTACATGTGAACAGCTCTGGTGACAGTCCCTCCTCCTTGCTCTACTTCTCAGCCTCCATCCTCCTCCTCTCTTTCAAACACACACACATACACCAAAGGTAGAATTTGTTCCCTTATTTCAGGCAAAGCCTTTGGGTGGGGAATCAAGTAGAGATGAAGTGTGTTTAAGGAGGGTTGTTTATATTTAAAAGGGCAAACGAAATAAGGAATAAAAGAAGGGTCGATGAAGTGTGTACCATGGGGGTCTCTGGCAGGCTGGGGAGTATTGTTCAAGAAAAAAAAAAAAAAGACTCTTCTATTGTTGAATACCAGATCTGGGACCAGGGGGAGGAGGAGTTGGCGGGATAAAACAGAGCCCCACTTGTACCACATTCCCACTACCTGCTGTGACCCAAAACCCACCCCACAGGGAGACAAAGGAAATTACCCACCACCACTCTAAGTTGGTTTTACCATACATTTTGACCACTTATGTCAAATCCAAATCAATGTACAAAACTGGATGAAAAACCTTCAAATATTTGAAAAGAAAACTTTGGATCTAAAGGGGGGGGTCAGCTAATTAAGACCATGCAAATGTCAAATGTTTTCACAAAACTTTGAAATTTAAAACTTTTAGTACAATTAAATAATACAATTGGCCGAATTGAATCTTTTTAGCTGATCCCTAACATGTTCCATCCATTTAGCCTCGTTTGATTACCATCATAGTGACAACCTCCAAGCGCTCTTACATTTTTCCTCTCACAGAATCACGTGAAACTTTTAGGGTTTTCATTTCCGAGTGACTTCTTCATGTTTGTGTGCACGAATGGTGCAGCCAAACACTTTGTGCACAACTAGAGTGGCACTGAGATAATTCATAACTTTGTAGCATTTAACTAAGCTTTTCTCATCATCAGTGTGTTAGCCAGGTGCTAGCTTAATATTTGTTAGCGTTAAACAAACACACAGCTCAGGTTACTGTCAAGCCATTATTTTGGGAAAAATGTCAAGATTAAAGTACAGAAATTAAATGAAGGTCGTAAACTTGCCTCATATTTGTTTAAACCAGTTTCTGATCCACAACTGCAACGCAAGTGGCACACCGCCAGAGGCCTTTTCCCACGCTACTGCGCACGCGCAACTCGTGCATGTAGTTTCCAGCCATTTGTCATGCTTATATACACGCTCAACATTTTTGTCTGTTTAAATCAAGCACAAACTTACATCAGTAAACTTTTAAGAGCACAAAATGGCGCAAATAAATTCTTTATTAATTAGTGGCACATAATACACATAACCACAACTATAGTATTACTATTTAGAGTGTGGAGCTCATGTAGCTGTTGTGCTTCACCCCTTGAATACTGTAATGCTGACAAATGACGATTTAGATATAAATATACTGAAATCTTGGAAACTAGGAATTTATATATAACTAATCCCCCTTAAATATATTTCCTCATATATATATATATATATATATATATATATATATATATATATATATATATATATATATATATATATATATATATATATTTCTTATTGCTGGATCCTTAAAATTGGGAGACCTGTGAATGAGAAGGACCAGGACCAGAGTATAATGTGAAACTGACTAAACAAAAAGGTGCATGCAGTGCAGGCAGTAAGAACAATTTATCAACACAAGCAGTTGAGAAAAAGGAATGATTTGGCCCAAGACTGATGAAAAAGGTAGGACTTTCCACATTAAATGCAAGTAATGAATGCATTAACTTGAAGAAACTGCAAAATGACATACTTTCCATATTTACACACACAAACAATGAAAAGCCCATTGAACTGCCTGCATTTCCTTACTTGTAAAATATTTCTTCAACATTACTTCAGTCTCACATGCTAAATATCATCAACATGACACACTTTAAACTATTAGGAGGCAGGATGAATATAACAGAAAATGATGCATTTGAAACGACTGAAGTGTTAGACATTACTGAGTGCCAGCTTTGGTTATAAAGTTCCTTCAAAGCAGGAAGAGAAAAGCTTCCATGAAACTTACTAACAGACAAAACATCAACCTTCGTTTTTCATAATCAGGTCTAAAAACCATGACTACATAAAAGTAAGACCTCATAATACATCATTTGAGTTCAGTTGGTCAAAAAAAAAAACAATTCTGTCATTTTACAGAAAAACTTTCTTCTGAGGTACAAAGACAAAAATTTGTTTAAGCTCGACAGCTTGTGTGATATGTGTAAGTACAATGTGTTTTTTCTTCCTGGGGGGGGGGGGGGGGGGGGGTTTATTGTACCACTATGAGCTACCTCACAGTGGAAGTGCAAATTATAGCATAACAGTTCTTCAAAAAAAGTGCAGCAAAAAGTATAACAGATTTATTTGACTGGATTAAAATTTTATCTCATTTTTATTTAAACTGTGGCAGTTTATAGAAGCTGCCAAAAAGCAAATCTGTCCCTCACATTAACGTAAACAGACCAAGACTGTGACAGAACATTCCCCTCCATTAAAGAGGAGGGACTGTTGCAGTCAGACAACATTCAGTAAGGCTTTCAGGAGACGATTGTCCCGACACTCTGTCAAATGTCCTTCATTTTCAGGTGAATTTAAAAAAAAAATCGACAATACTGATGGATTACTGCTGTGGCTGCTCCAAAGCCACTCCAAGCTTGTCGTAAATCTCCTTCAGCAGCAGCAGTGCTGTGTCCTCAGATTCCCTAACAGACAGAAAGAATAGGATGACTATGATGCTGAAGGATGGATGAATAAATTAATACTGAAGAGAACAGTTACTGTAGCCCACTATTTGGCAGATATACATTACTCACCAGTAACAAACATGAGACTGGATGGCAAATAAATACTCATTGAAGCTCTCGATGGGTTTTTCCTGAAGCACGTAGTCGATTCTCCGTCCTCCATTCAGCATCCCCATTGTAATCTCGGGCTGCTCCATCTGTTCAGCTGATGACTCTGCCTCCATGTACACTCCTGAGGAAACAGTCACTTTAAAAAGGCTTTATGAATGACCAGCAGTAGCACTAAACTGGAAAGAAGAGAGGACCAGTTTGTAAGAAAACACAATATTAAACTATGTGTGCACCCAATCTGTGAATGATTAAAATACACTAAAGCTGTAATCAAAGTGTGATGCAGGTAATGCCTATTAGGAACATAATTATAGACATAATTCACACATTAATGTCTGAAAATCAGAATAAAAAAATCTTGGTTGGTTGGAAGGAATTTGTTCACAATAATCCCATCAACTCATGTAAAGACTTGGAGAAAGATGAAATGGTCTGTTATTACTCAGATTAGCAACATATGGATGTTAACTTCAAAACTAAATGGATTAAGTAAGGGGATATCACTTAGTTTGGTCAGTTTTAAGAAGCAATGTGATTTTTGGTGTTTTATGAAAATCCACCTTAAAGCAACATTAAAAAGTCGTCCATTTAAGCGGTTTCTTTCAAACTGGTTTCAGAAAGTTGAATCAGAAAGTTCAGCAGTTTGACATTGAACGGCTCTCTGCAGCCCTCTTATGGTGAGAAACTGCACTATCAACTTTGTGGTTTGGGTAGGAACCTAGAACAAGGGAGAGATGGACCAATGGTCAGGGTAGAGTTTACTGTCCTACTAGCTAATATAAAGGCTGGAAGTCAGCTTTTTCAGTTCGCCGACCATCAATGAAAAGCATAAAAAGAAGAAAAAGTTTCTTTTTTGTTGACATCATGGCAGAGCCTGGAAGTAAAAGGAAGAGAGTAATGTCTTTGGAGGCGAAACAAAGAGCTAGTGAACATCGGTGTGGCCTACACTCTGGGGCTGTGGCAGGGTTGTCTACAACTGGTGTAATTCTGCTTTCAGCCAGTAGGGGGAGAAGGGAGAAACTTATTAGGTGCTACTTTGTTGATGCATACATTTCAGATGAAATCTAAATAGCCAGCTTTTGAGGGTTTATTTCATGCAACCTGCCTTTGAAAGTAATACCTTACCTACCTTTTAAAGATAAGACTTGAAACATTTGTAAAGCAGAAGCAAGGAGGTAGTTTTTAGGAGGAAAAAAATAAAGTTAATCCTTGTACTGCCATGTACTGAACCAACAGATTTTGGAATACCACTGTGAGAAGTGCACCAACATGTTGGTACTGCAAGTGATTTTTTATTTTATGACATACATTACACAATGTTTAACTGACAGGTTATAATCCAAATGCCTCCACAGCTATACAGCTGAGATATTTGTGCAGATCTAACAAAAATGTGCCTTGGGCCACATCCTCAAGTGTTCTAAGATGATGATTAGTCAGCATTCTGAAAATTCTGCCAAATGACAACAGGACAGGGAGGAAAGGGCCTGAGAGTGGTGTCAATAAATTAAATGTAAAGTTGAAATGATGAATTCTAGCAGGAGGTTATGTCAGACACGAGGAGAGGTGGAACAAAGGAGCAGCAAAAGCTTGAGGCAGTAATGAATTACATGACATATCTGCTCTGAAAATGTGCCAGAGTAAATTATTGTAACTGAGCAGACTTTTTTCTCAACCAACACAGAAGGTATTACATAATTTACCAGTTGATAACACTATAATATAGTATTTAATGCAGCTTTTATTGTGTTTGAATTAAATGTTATTATTTCCCAGGTTGCAGCAGGTGCAATGAGATATAAAATAGTAAATTGACAGGCTGTGACAAGATGTTTGTGGGCTTACTGAGATTGCTTTGAGAGAAAACTATATAAATGATAACTATAAATGTAGTTTGTTAACTAATCTTCATTCATTTCAGCTTATTCTCCATCTTACCTTTTACGTAATGTTTATGAAGGGCCTTGGGCCACTCTTGTATTTTAGTCCAAAATTCATCACTTTTATCTTCCCTCTTAGCCGCAGTAGTGTCTGATACTGAGGCTGAAGTTCAAAGTAAAATAACAGGAGATGAGGGGAGCAGGAAAAAATAGGAGATGAGAGGTGTTAACATGCAGGGAGGAGCGTTAGGAGTATGAGGAAACTAGGTTAGATTCATTCATGTGAATATTTTCTCATACAAACAAACAGTGCCAAAAGATAAACAAATGCAGATAGAGTGAAAGAGTTTTCCTACCCTGTGCCTCTGTGGTCGTCTCATTTGTAGTACCAGCTTCTTCCAGTGGGGGCAGTGCAGCAACAGGCAATCTAGTGAAGGATTGCCAGGCTGTCCGTAAGGATCCCAATACATTGTTCTTTAAATCCATACTCATCCGGGTCAAGCTGTCTTTCAGTTCTACAGAAAAAAAGCAAAAATTCAAAGCTGGACATATATAACACCTTCATCTAACAGCTGAAATGTCTCTTCAGCCTTCATGAGTATCTAAAGGAGCGATTTATCACTAAATCAAACAAACAAAAATGTTCATGATCTAAAACCTGCATGAAACGTGCTGGACGAAGACTGCAGTGCCAGGCACGGTTGCTCAACTTTTTCCTAAATCCAACAGGCGGCGACCCACCAGTCTGAAGTAGCAAGTGCAGTATTCTGGCCACGGGGGGTAGTGGGGGTCTGTCTGAGTGACTTTTTATTAACCCTATGAAGGGTCATTTTAGCACATACTGGCTCCAGAAAATGATCGCAACTTTTTCAAATTTTTAAAAGTGTCCCTTTAAACAACTTGCTTCAGCAAAGTCAGAGTTATAAAGGGCTGAACAAATCTTGGAAATTATTCAACTGCAATTTTGATTAAATTCATGATTTTCCTTAAATCAAGCTTTAGCACAATATTCACCAAGTATAGTAACATTTACAATAAAATAAATCATATCATGAAAACATTAAAAAATATTACTCCAATGTAAAGATGAAAACTAAAGTGTTGGGCATTTTTCTGTGATGCCTGAATGCTTTTCCCCCCACAAAAGTACACTATAACACCGAAAGTGGACACATTTTACCATCAGAAAGATTTTAAATGTTTCTGAAAGAACAGAAGTTGCATTTTCAAGTCTTCTTGTTGTCACAGTAAATTCTACTCAACTGGTTCGGGAAGCCAGCTAATCAGCCCATTTGTCCCTCCGTGAAGAGACAAAAAAAAATGAGCGACTGAGGACAAACCTAATGGAGAACAGCAAATTATGTCTAAAAGATGGCCACCGCCATAAATAATATTGGCCATAGTAAAAAGGTAAATGATATAGCATCTTCTAGAATCTCCAACCTTTTGGAGACAATGAGCTACTTTTACACACAGAAAGTAAATAGTAAAAATGGTAAAGGCCTGTTTTTGTATAGAGTCTTCTTAGGGTTCTACAACTTCGCATGGTGCTTCACAACGCAATCGTCATCCACACACACATTCACACACTGGTGGGGATGAGCTAAGATGTAGCCACAGCTGTTCTGGGGTGCACTGAGAGGCGCCGCCAGTCCTTTCGGCCAGCAGGCAAGGTGGGTCAAGTGCCTCACCCAAGGACACAACAGCAGCATTCTCTGGTTGGATCCAGGATCGAACCTGCAACCTTCCAATTACTGGACAACCCGCTCTACCACCTGAGCTACCGCTGTCCCACAGAAGAGCTGCTGCCATTTAGTTACATTGTTACTTTCCATGAGTGAACATGCTTACTATGTTCAAAAATGCTATGCTTAACAAGCATTGTATCCACAAGTTGCTTTCTCTGTAATTCAATAAATCACCATTGTAAAAAAAGATTTGTGACATTCCTGTTTTGAAAATCAAACTAAATGAAACATTTGTTTTATAACTAAATGGATACTTTCAGATAACGAAATACAAATTTCCCTTGTGTGAATGATTTGACTTTTTTTTTTTAATAATGGATCAGTAACATAACTTTTTGAGCACAGAGGAACAGCTAACCTGTTCCTGTTCAGTCCCTGACCCTGTGCCATAACCGGAGCCTGAGCAGCAATGTTAGTTTTTTTTATAGTGTTCAACAATGTTGTAATGAAAAAACAAATACTCCCCAAAACCATAAAAAGCCATTTAAAGAACACAGAATGTTATAGAACCCTAAGAAGGCTCTAAATAAAGACAGGTTACTAACCACTTTACCTTTTAGAGTCCTGCAAAATACCTTAGCTTTGATGATCACTTGATTGTGTTGTCTGAAATCACAGTTTGGAACAGAAAATGGTAACGGTTCAGCCCTAAAGTCATACCTAGATGCATCCTCTTCCGGCCTTTGTGGTGAGGTATTAGCATTGGTTCCAGATCCACCTCAGAAACAATCATGGGTTCTATCCGATAGGCCACAGGATCGTACTAAACAGGGATACAAGCGGTAACAAACGACCCTTTTTTCATCACATGAGAAGGCAAAATTTAATAATAAAAGGAAGATTATTTTTAATATCACAGATTTATCATAATAATACAAGTAGGAAAGGATTCCAGTGGAACCCAACTGTAGTGTGTGAATACTCACAGGGTGGTAGATGTTGTAAAAGCCCTTGCACGTTGGGAAGGAGTAATTTGGATCAATGCGTTTAAGTCCACGAACAGTCAGGAACATTCCGATGGGAGAGCCAAAGGCAAAAAATGTCTGAGGGTGGAACGCCAGCTGTGGGTAATCAATGGAAACCTGCAGAGAGAGGTATGGAGATCAGAAATGTGTTCTAACCCTAACCCTGATCAGGTGTGACTGAAAAGACACATCAGTGTGGAAAGTTGGACTCCTTTGATCTTGAGTGACATAAGTAGGGAGACAAAATGGGAAAGAAAACCACCCATGCGGAACAGACACATTTTATGAGCACATTTAATTATTCGGTTGTGAATCGTAATCGGACACAAAGTGACAACACCATGGAAATTCTACCATTCAAAATGGCCAATAGTATTCAGCTGGTCCACTGACAAAGCTGCACAGCAAGACAGGCTCAGGTCAAAGTGAAAGGAACAGGGCCTGAGAGACAGTGGACACCACATGAGACACACCTGTCCCTTGGCTATGCCTCCACTGGTCTGTCCAGGTAAGCAGAGGGAGAAGCAGGAACAGTGATGCACCAAAGCTTCACCTCCCAAAACACAATTCAAAGTGTGTTTGTATGATTGTGTACTACCTGTCCAATGCCGACATCAAAGTATTCGTAGTCTACAGCACTGGTGATGGACTGTGCTCTGTGGAAATGGGGATCCTGGGACATCAACCCTGAAGACTGGTTTCCATCACTAGTGGACACAGGAGGAACTTCGGATTCCTGCGTCTGATTTTCGGCTGGTGGCTTACAGTCCTATTGAGATAAACAAACGTAAAGATATTTAATCAGTGTAGGAACACACACACACACACACACACACACACACACACACACACACACACACACACACACACACACACACACACACACACACACACACACACACACACACACACACAGTTATTGACATCTGAAAAGAAAGTCCAAATCAAAAAAACAAAGCATCATAAAACATAAATATGGCTAGAACACAGGGCTGACCTCAGGAAGCCACCTCCGTTTGATGTAGTTAAGGATCTTTTTACGAGGTCCAAGTGGGATTCCTAAGTCTCGGAGATCACAGTCCTGGCAGAGAGCCTAAAAGAAAGTACCACAGTTTTTCTCAGTTATTACATTTTAGACTATGCCATAAAAGTAGGTAATGAAATACCAGTGACTCCAGGTCAAGTTTTTCTGCCTGCAGAGTACTCAGATATTGTTGAAGGCCCATTCTGGTCAGCATCTGCTCCAATGAGTCATTGTTTGGACTAGAATGTTCTCCAGAAAATACCTTAAAGGGGGTGGAAATGGACGAACATGAATTCTTCAAACTACTAATGTTGTCATTTAGTGTGATTGTCATGTCGTACCCCCTCTCTTGCCCTGGATCCAGTCCTTTGATTGGTTAGCAAGTCAAACAAGATTAAAGAACCTGAGAAACAAGAGACAAAGCAAACATGTTTGAAATGAGCATATTATCTTTTCACTCAGACATGAATACGTAAGACTCCCCATTGGGCACTGGAGAGCGCAACAGTGTCGCCGCCATATTGGATGGGTCTCATTAGCAAAGTCAATGCGGTGGGGGCAAGTATGCCTGTTTTGTGAACAACAGGTATTGAAAACAGATCACATGGGATTTCTATTGACGTTTCTAGCCTACCTGATGGGATTTTATATTTGAATTTTTTTATCCATTTCTTTTAATTATATTTCTATTTGAATTATCATGCCATACCATGCGTCTGGTTGTGTGAAAAAAGCTTGATAAAATTTGTTTTTTAGTTGGGTAAACATTTTTCTCAAAAATTAATGCACCGAGGGTGAATGGACACCCATCTAAGATGGCAGCTGGCTACTACGGCAGCTCCAATTAGCTGCGCCAGTCCACGGGGCGTCTACATATATTTGTCTGTTGTGGCGTACCAAATGGCCAAGTTTTTTTTATCAAAAATGGCCAGAAGTTAACTTTTAACTTACAGGCCAAACTTTTTCATTTAGGTCAATCTGACACCGTGGTGCCGATATGACATCAATGAACTTTACCCAATATTCTTAACAAATCTGCATATGTCATGAGCCCCTCAAGGCTGCAAGAGACGGAGGACCTCTTATCTACCCTCTTTGAAAAAAGTCTATCTTCCTTGGCTCAATTAATGACATTAAAACTTCATAAATTCATATTTTTTGAATGAACAATATGTTTTAATCCAAAGTGTTTTAATGTGTTCTATACTTTATATTAATGAATGATGGATTAAAATAAATATTTTTCCTGTAATAATTTATTTCAGATCTTAAATTACACCAGATTAGTATTTGTTGATTTTAAGAATTTAATCTATCAGTATATTCACACCTCATAATATCACAATATCATTAATGGCGTAACATTTTTGCTTCACACTAAGAGTACCCTCTTAAGTATCTGAGTGATGGAGTGATTTCCTGAGGTATTTTGGTAACGCCTTTAAATTAGTCAAATTCTGATTTGTCTTAATTTGTCAACAGTAGTTAATAAAGGCTAGGTCACTTCCTGAACTAACCTGTTCTCCGCCGCTTCCCAGTTCAGCCGACCGGGTGAGTAAAGCACTTGGGACCATCCTCTCTTTTGACCCCAAGGTCAAAGCCTCTCTACAACGCTTGCGGGTGGTATCAGACGCTATAACACCTCAGATGTAGAACGTCTAACTAGCAGAGCCTGGCAGCATCTTATGGCCGGTGAAAACTGAATTCAAAGGGATCTACGACTCTTTGAGACTCCAGTAGCCACTGTGTCTGGTGATCTCACCACCCCTGGTTGCCTCTCCTCCGGGTCACCCAGAGCTTCCAACACAAGGGTATCACAGACCTGCACACTGGTGTCGGATGGTTTTATGAATAAATGTTAGCTTGTTAAACCATACAGTCAGACTGATTTTACAACCCAGACATCACAAGATCTCTCAGATACTTAATAAGGTTTTGCTACATAAACATCTAGCTTACATTCCATCATTTCATTCATTGTCTGTCATCTTGTACAACCTTCATTGCATTCATAATTTGTCATGTATAATCATTAGTTTAGAAAGATGGAGTTAAATTCATTTTTATAAACTACATACTTGACTCTGTCTGAATTAATTTGAAGTGTGTGTTCCCTGAAAAGTCCAAAGAACCTAAAGTAATATTAAGGCCAATCAGATTGATAATTCATATTTATATGGAATATCACATCTTAAGTGATCATTTAATAATATGTAGCAACAATCAATCACGCTACACCGTGGTTTCACTACTTTGTGGATGTGTGTTTTCCTGTAGCTTCAAAGCTCTAACCCAGGCTGTGTCCCGTCACAGAAACGTCCCCTTCAAACTCTGGGTGTCGCTGCTTAAAGAGAGCGTGTAGCTTGTTGATCTCTGAAGCCACTGTGTCCACTATGGTCTGACAATAGGTGGGGCTGTTGTAGAAAAATAGGTCCAGCAGGGTGTCATTGGTGAAATGTCTCAGCCTGCTGATGCTGGGTAGCGTGATCCTCTGGATGTCCCTGAAAGTAGGAAGAAGTGGAAAGTATTTTTTTTAATGACGTGTTCAAGAGTATTTCATTACATATTAGCAAGGGTGTAGGTTTAGCATGGATGGAGGTGATGTGTCCCCACCAAAAATTTGACTGCCTCTGCTAAAAAAACTACAAGCCATTCAAATTCTCGTTACCCTAGAGGTGCAGAAAGGGTAATGACGTTCTCTCCTTGAGTCCTACCTTCGTAACGCGTGTGACCAGTGGGATTGGCTGTGCATGATGTCATGGGAAACTCGTGTGAGACAAACTACGCCAGTTGTTAGCAGCACCAAAACGTAAAAGAAAACGTTCCAGTCGTAAGCAAGACTCCTGTGTTTGCAATGCGATGTGAGTGACACATGGGACCAATAGTGAGTGAGTGTAACCGAGGGTCCAGAGAGGATGACACTAGCTCTATGAAAGCTGCACATGAAGAGAGGACGATGGTAGGGATGCACAATATATCGGTATCAATATCGGTATCGGCCGATGTCAAGTCGTTTCTTAACATATCGGTATTGGTGCGATAAATAAAACTGGGAAGATATTAACAATCGATATTTTTTCCATCTCGTTTCCATTTGTTTATCTGCTTCAGAGGGTGAGGGTGGTGATGTGTATTTGTTTAGTCATGTGACAGTGATTGTAATAATCTCAGAAGCATAAATGTTTGTGGTGTGTGTACATAACAATATAAACTCAGCTTTGATCATTTTCATTCTATACAAAATCTGCTGCTTTTAGAAGCATTAATGTCAGTATACTGGTATCGGCAAATATCAGTTATCGGCCATTACAGTGATATTAATATTGGATATCGGTATTGATCCAAAAATCTCATATCGGTGCATCCCTAGACGATGGCCATGAACTCGAGATGCTCCGTCACTTCACATTACAGCAGTCAAGTTGTCACAAAAAAAGCTCTGTACACCACATCCTGTCTTGACTGTATGAATCAAAATAAGTCTCACAAAAGTAGTTTACATGCTTTCCCCTAACAAAAAAAATAAACATCCTCAGCTACAGAAAATTTACCTTTCTCCAAGAGAGAAAGATAACTATACTTGTCAATCATGGTTCTCTTTATCTCAGAGTCTAACTTTCATTCAGACTCTGAGAGAAAGATATTATCAGCCTAAAGAGGCCGTTTATCCTTTAAGCCTGACACATGAAATAATAATCAGAAAACAGTTATCTTTAATTTAGAAAAAGTTTTGACTAATACAATAATTTACTTTTACAACAAGACAAAAACTAAATACACTTTGTAAAAAAACTTGAGCTTCCATCAGAGGGCAGATAACATGTTTACAATTCAATAAGGCAGCTTTTTGAGGAAAAAACTAATTGTATTAAAATTATTAAATTGAAAGAGCGCTTATAAACTTAGACATAGCTGTATAGGTATGAAACAATTGTTAAAGGGTTAAATTGACATGTTTAATGTTAAAATTTTAGAATAGTATATGTGGGAAATCAGTACTTTGTTTCATCAGGGATCAAAGAGAAAAAAAAACACAAATTGGGGGCATGGGTGGTAGATTTGTAAGTTTCCACCATTGTTAAGCACAAATCTACACCAATGCATATTAGAAATGTAAAAAGAGGTAAAGTCCCTCAAAAGCCTTTTGATACTTACTCATCCACACCAGTAGCATCTCCATGCAGAGCGCTGTGCCAGTTAACGGGGAGGAACTCCACTCGGCCAACCTGGCCGTCCTGCTGAGCACGCTTGTAATGTGTGGCCAGGAGGGACAATGAAGCACTCCTGAAGTCATTCACTTGACAGATCCAAAATGCTCATTAACTCACATGAATGCATTCATATCAACATACAACACACACACTTACCACACTGTATGATAGATCTGAAGCGTAAGTCACATGCAGGTCCAATGCCATGCACCATAAAGACAAGGTGGTCTATTTTCTCTGGTTCACCTGGAAACGTATTCATAGAATGAGCTCAGATTGTTGACAATAAGGCAACATTTATCTTTAATTATTATAATTATCCATCATTATCTCGCAACAAAACAAAACTCATACCATCTGGTATTTCTACAAAGATCTTATCTACTCCCCTCTTGACTGTGCAAGGTCGTGTCTGCTCTGAGGGGGAGGAAACCCACTCATCCTGCAATTGTATTGGCTTGTAGTGCATCATCAGCTGGGAAAGAAGGCAGTTAAAAGCATCAACTCATTGCTTTGAAGAGAATTTTACTTGTTGTTTCTGCTCATGCCATCCTCCCTGAATTTTAATTTGATAAGTTAGAGGAATAAAGAAATACTTTCAAAGACCACACCTCACCTTAGGATTGTGTAAGATGACGGTCTCTCCGGTGGGAAAGTCTAGTTTCCGTTTCCATTCATCCAAAGTCACTGCTATCATGTAGGCTTCCTGAAAAATTAAGATAATTCGAAGGAACCATCAAAAGTCAAATAGGAAAAAACTAAGTTATAGATAAAATCAAAATTGAATCTGCATGAATAAGCAGTGTGGTGTGAAACCCAACATCCATGTCAGACAGACTACCTCCAGACTTGTGCTCAAGTCCTCAGGGTAAGGCATGTATTGAGTGTCTTTATCTCCTTTAAAGAACCAGGTGCAGCGGCGGACCTCAGTGGGAGCCTGCTCCCAATACACGGCATAGCGCTTCCTCTCCTTGACGTGTACATCATAACGCTCCCCATCCACAGCAACCCTAACGTCCTCCTCCTCATCTTTTGCTGTAAACATGAAAAATAAATAATGTTCCAATTGTCACACCTACAAGAAAATACAGTAAGTCCTCTGTGGCTCTCATCTAAATGTGATCTACTTAATATATTCAGAAAAATAAATAACAATATAATAATAATAATAATAATATATTTATATATATATATATATATATATATATATATATATATATATATATATATATATATACACACACACACATATATATTCAATTTACAAAGCGTGAGCTGTAATTTTATCAATAATTGTATTCTTTTTCCAACCTAAATGGACCAAAATTGATATTTTGCAGAAACAATAGCATTTTTTTAAGTCAAAGTCCCATTAGTTGTTGCACTCACTGATGTGTGTGTGACATTTATTCTCCGCATTTGACCCATCCCCTGGGGGAGCGGCGAGCTGCAGATACAGCTGCGCTCGGGAACCATTTGGTGGTTTAACCGCCCAATCCAACCCCTTAATGCTGAGGGTGAAGCAGGGTGGCACTGGGTCCCATTTTTTCAAAGTCTTTGGTATGGCCCGACCTGGAATCGAACCCCCAGTCTCAGGGCGGACACTCTACCACTATGTCACTGAGCTGGTTATTCCTCTATTCCTGTTTTTAATTTATGCCTTCAAATAAAATCCTTTGCCAACTATTTTCTGAATTTTAGTCACGGTTGAGCAAGACAACTTTGTTGTGCCATCACAGAAAATATATTCATTATTCACTTGATAAATAATTTTTTAATTGCCAAGTTGGAAACTACAGATTTTATATTTTTTACTTTACACAGCACTAAACTCAGGTTACTTTAAAATGTGCTGTAGCAATAGGGTTAAAATCAGTAACATAGGCAATAATATAGCTAGTTAAAGCACAGTATAGCAAAAATCCTGTTTTTAAAGAGCAAGTCACCCCAACCAGACTTTTACTCAACTCCCACTTCCTGTTTGAAAAATGCACCAAAAGGAGGCCTGGCAGACCAAGAGGGTGGGGCCAATAACAAATACACACACACAGGCTCACAACGACATTGTGACATCATATGGTACCAGCTAACGTTCTAGGGTACCTCTTAGCCAATAACGATGGCAAATTTAAATTCAAATGCAGTGCAGAGTTTTTACCTGACAACGACACAACACTGACAGTTTTAGGCAGAAAAATAAAATTTTAACGATAATGAACTAAAGTGCAAAACTATTGACGACATTTGTCTGCAGCACGATTAGACACGCATTTATATAGTTTATCAGAAAAAAAAGTTGATTTGTGGGTGACTTGCTCTTTAAGCACTTTGTAACATCTGGAAAGCGAGAGAAAACTGGCTGGGATGTAAGTAATACATTTCACAATGTGGAATTCCAAAGAGCTTGGAGATTTCATCACGTGCAGCACAAGATGTGATTAAAGACAAATATATTCCAGATATAAGAGCACAAGGGACAAAACTGAAACCTGTGCACAGCAAAAAACACAGAATAAGTTCCAACCACTGCATGGACTCAGCACTTTTTATATTCAAATAATTCCCCTAACAAATTAAAAAAGATTAAAAATGAAAGACAGCTCTTTTAAGATAAACAAAAATAAAAGTTTTCTATAATAAAAATGTTTTTGTTTTATCCTCATAAAGGCTTTTCCCGCCCGGCTGCAGAATCCTGGCTTGTTATGAGCACAGTCTAATTGCCAGGACTCGGCATATTTAAATTGCAAATTTTAGAAGGTACAGTTAGTGCTGAATTATGCAAAAACCGTTCAGAAACGAGGCAGCCTGGGCAAGAGTCCATACTCGATGGTGTCTTTTTTCTTCACTGATCTGCTCCTTCAAGAGATTAGCTTCAGGTCATGGGACAATCAATCAGTTCCAATGCAGACATTCATTATTGTAACACTACAACTGAAGCAGAGTCCAGTATGTTTAAAGAAAGAGTTCTACACCTTTAAAGCATCAATTCGTGATTCCAAGATGACAGAACTCAAAAACATTAAATAATATAATGTCATGTGATCACTAAGGACTACCCTGAAACTGAAATTCACCTGACAGGATCCTGTCCCGACAGGTAGAGTTAAGTCCCCCAGGGGGGTGGTGAAGGGTAAAATACTGGCTCTCAAGCCCCCAGGGGGGGTGGTGAAGGGTAAAATACTGGCTCTCAAGCCAGTAATGATACCATTGTTTTAAATTATTAATTTCCAAGAAATTGTTTCACACAACTTAACTCCCCACCCCCAACAGTCTAAGGTGTCGATCATTTTCCATGTAAAGCATATTTAAGCTGCATGTTATTTCATACCAGTAATAAAAGCATTCTCTAGCTTGTCAGAGTCTTCTCTGCTGAAGGGATGCCAAGAGGTGCTGTCTTCAGCTCGTCGGCAGAAGAACCAGTGAGGCTGCACTTCTTGGTAAGGAGGTGGAACTGATTCCATGTCAAGCATCTCAAAAGAGGATGTGGAGGATGGGGACACCTCTTCTGCCACAGGCGAAACCTCAAAGAAAAAAAAGCAGCAACATTATGTTTGAAATCAATAACTCCTCCTCACTGAAACACCTCCCAGTCACAAAGTAAAAAACAAATGTCTACTTTACATTATATACCTGTTTCCTTCTTTGGAGCAGTAGTGAAGGCTGCAGATACTAAAGCGAGGGCAGTAATCTGAACAAACCCTTCTACTAAAATCCCATCCAGTAAAGAAAGCAGTCAAGAAACAAAAGAGAAGGCCTCCCTTCTGACCAGACACACAAAGCTCTGTTTTATTATTCCCTCCTCTACAAGCTTTGTCTTGTTTCTGCCGCTGAAACCAAAACAGCTACAGGTTGTAAACAGTTTAGACAGGATTTCTCAGGTCAATAAACAATGCAACCAGTAATACAGCTTCTATTTTAACATGCTGGATGGCACTGTTCCTGCGAGAGTTAGGCCCAATACTCACTCGGAGTATACAGCCTGTCAAAGTTAACCCGTTTGCACTACAATGTGAATAAAGCAGGTGTACACACTTGAGTAGATGTTGGAATGTGACTGGAACACATTTCCAAATAATCGTGTTGATTACTTTTTAAATACCTTTCCGTATTTGCAGTGTTTACCAGGTAACTTTTGGGAGATAAAAAAAATTTCAGGAAAAATAATTACAAAATTCCATCACATGTTGAGTTTATCCTCGATGAATGGTTTACTAAATCAAAACTTTACAAGGTGTACAAACTTTATATAGAAACATTATCTGGCAACCTGTAGCTTTATAATTTTTTTATCACATTTTTTTTATTTTTTGTCCTTTTAAACATATTTTTAAAACTTTATTAATATTATTTTTATATTTATTGTGAAGCGCCTCGTGATTTTTATCTTGAGGTGCTAAATAAAATATAGCTTTCTTTCATTCTTTTTGCATTCCCTCAGAAAAAAATTGCTATTTCAATTTATCTCTTGGTTACACAGTAAGACCTGAATGAGATAAAACAGATAGTTAAGTTTTCCCAAGAGCTAGATTTAAATTCTATTGACAACGAAACATTTATTTGCATAGCTTTAAAAAAGTTTTTTTTGTTTAAAGATAATAGTTATTTTATTTTTTTAAGTGATACGAATGATCCAGAGATCATTAAGATGAATCGTTTTGGGCTCACTATACCATTTTTGGTTTAGGTGTGCTGGCTGGCACCGATTAGGCTCTTTTTTTATAATCTTAGTGATTCATGTCAGAACAGCTTGGTACTACTTGGGGCTTTCCACTCCACAATGCATGTCTTTTTAGGACAGGGAAAATAGGTTTTCTTTCTGGTTTGTTCTTGGATTTGTCTGTGTGTGTTCCACAAAAGTTCCAGTAAAATTTGCGGACTTTAATTCCAGTTAGGCTCATCTCATAACGATGATAAGATGGGTAAAAAACATAAATAAATCATATGAACTATACCATCAATAATAGCCACCAATGTAGGAGGTCAAACATGGTTAATGGCACTATATGTAAAAAGAAACCTTTTTATTTGTATTTTACTTTTTGAAAAACAGAGTTCTGAATGCCCACAATCACATATTCATCTTTGATTAAATTAGTAAATACCACCAAATATGTAGTTTTCCTAAATTTCTTGATAAACATACAACCTAAAATCATTCAACCCTAAAGTGTAAAGAAGGCCATTAAAAACTGTAAAAGATCCACTTAAATGTCTCCTCAGATGATTTGTTTTCACCTTGATCATCACTAACACAGAAAGTTGATTCCCAAACAAAGATCAACTATATCAAACATGAATCGATAAATACACAAGGATCTATCCTGCTAAAAAGAGAAAGGCTGGCAAATAAAACCCAACTAAAACATCACATTTTGTGAACAAAGGCCAGGGTTAAAGAGGTAATGCAGAATCACATTTTACATCTTAGCATTCAATTACACATGAACCCTCACCTGTGCCTCAGGGCTGCTGCATGTCGCTGCAGTTTCACAGGGGTTGTCAAACGGGTCTGGGGGTTGGGAGTTTCTTTCTGAGGCTGCTTGAGATAGAGCCCTCGGGTCACCCTGATTGGATGACATTACCCCGACCCTCAGCTCTTACCTGAGGGGCTGGGCAGGGGGGCAGAACCTGCAGCAACAACACATTAATGAGCAAACTAGAAGCTGAAAACCATACTGTCAAAACTGCCATTGTCTTGTCGTTTAAACAATAAGACTGCCAAACAAGACTAGCTGCAGCTGAGGTTAATTTATTTCGGGTCTTTTAAAGAAAGAAAAAAGCACAACAAACAAGTGAAGCAAAGGTTGTAAATCATGCTAGCTGAGTTTCGGTCCCTGGATGGGGACATTAAATATAAGTTTTTATCGGTTACATGTTTGAACGTCACATCTCCGCTGTTATACAGCTGGTAATGAAACTCACCTTTAACGTCTCATGAACTTTAAGGGAAACGTTTGAGTTATCTAGCTAGCTTTAAGCTAACGCTGCTGTCCAAGGACAGCCTCCTCCCGTTAAATGTTGCTGTGATAGATTCAAGTGTCCTCGGAAACACGAGGATTAGAGATTAACAGACAAGCGCGTTGATGGAGCAGCTCTATCAGGCAAATACAAGCCTAAATTAACAGAATAGTGTCTATCAAGAAAATATTGCATCACAGCAATATCCAGATGTGAATTTTTGTTAAAATATTCAACACCTAGCAAGTATCTGAGAATGACTATAACTTTAACTAAGAGTACTCGAAGACAACACTGAACACACCACAGCAGACCACATCCACAAACACAAAGTTGACGTCATGAATGAAAGGTCGGTTTTATTGTGCTGCAAAAACAAGAAGCGTATGTTTCAGACGTAACTAAACATGCTCATTTAAAGGTTGTGCATTCTGCCCAAACTTGTTTACATGTTACACAACAAATGGTAAGGGAGGTCAATAAACTTTACAGTATTTTGAGCTAATCTGTGCTTGACTTTTCTGTATTTTACCGTTGTTAATGAGACCTAAGAATCATTCGATTTATTTAACTGCATTCCAGTGATGCCAAGCAAGCCACCTGTTTGACCCAAACTAGAAATCCTCGTTGTTTGCACTGAAATGAGTGCAGTTATGCGTTAAACCGCAAAATAAACAGACACACCCACATTTGAACCTGTTTCATTAAAGTTTTAATTAAATATTTTTACTATATTTTATTAATATAGAGCATGCTTTTCGTGCATTTCATTGTGAATAACAAAAATAGGTGTTAAACTGTAATGCTCTAAAAAAATCTCCACATTTGTTGCTTAAAATGCTTGATCATAAAAACCAGTGCAGATCCTGGATTCAAAACACAACTTCTTGCTACTGCTTTAAGGCTTCCATGGGAGGAGTGAAACATGTCTGGGGGAGGAAGAGTGAGAAAAGCTACAACAAAGACACACCCAGTTCAACAAAGTTTCTGAGGCAGTCTGTGTGGAGCAATAGGAGGGAGTGGCCTTTTGCACAGTGTGAACAGATAAGTTAAGTTTGCCTTGTAAAGAGAAGCAAGAGTCAAATCTGAACAGTCAGCCATTTACTATTGCTCTGCTGGGCTCCTAAACTGTTCCAGCCCCCTTTTTCCTTCTGCTCCAACAGTTTGAGACAAGACTTTGCTAGTAAAGAACAGAGAAGTGAACTCAGAGCCATGAAGGATAAAGTGAAAAAAGGAGGAGGAAGGAATCAAGTCAAAACCGGTGAGTGATCCTTGTAATCAGAAGTTTTCTGCCTCCTTTTCTTCGTGAACTGAAGAATGTGTGGAAGGAGGGTGGGAGATTTGGCGTAGTACTGCCACTCTAACATGGCTGGGGTTTACTTTCATGTCTTTTGGAGAGTCTGCTGTGCATTTTTTTACTTTTATTGTCTTTCTTAATGCAGACACATGCTTTGTAATTGATGAATCTGTTAAAAACATTGTAACCACCTATTTATGACCGGTCAATTCAAAGACTAGATTGTATACTATGTTCATAAATAAGCCACACTGCAGTGGACGTCTTTACCTTAACATGTGCCACTCCCCTTCTGCAGGACTGAATGATTTGCTGTAGCGTGTGTTGTTGGCCCAACTTCGAATACAACAGATTCTTTATTTATTTATTTCACCTATTTATCGCTGGCAGATCGTCCAATTTCAAACAGCAAAGCAATAAGAAATCCTAATACACCCTTTTTATCATTGCTTTGAATGAGTCAGATTTCTATTTGTGTGCTTTCATTTGGCCTTTTGCAAAGTTCTCCAGGCTTTCTGGAGGTCCTTTAACAGTCTTCCTTGGACAAAGACAGCTTTTCACTAATTTCCACTCCCATCCACTCAGCCACTAAATACCGACTTATGAAACATTTGAGCATAAAAAGACCATTTTCTCCAAGGGTAAAACATTTAAATGCAACATAACCTATTTTATATTAGATCTGTAGGCCTTTTGTTCAAATCCCCCTGTCATCACCATACAATATGTTATATGTTTTATTCGTCGTCGTCGTCTTCCTCTGCTTATCCGGGTCCGGGTCGCGGGGGCAGCATCCCAACTAGGGAGCTCCAGACCGTCCATTCCCCAGCCACCTCCACCAGCTCCTCCGGCAGGACCCCAAGGCGTTTCCCGACCAGATTGGAGATGTAACCTCTCCAACATGTCCTGAGGCCTCCTGCCGGCAGGACATGCCCGAAACACCTCCCCAGGGAGGCGTCCAGGAGGCACCCTGACCAGATGCCCAGACCACCTCAACTGCCTCCTTTCGATCTGGAGGAGCAGTGGTTCTAATCCGAGTCCCTCCCGAATGTCTGAGCTCCTCACCCTATCTCTAAGGCTGAGCCCGGCCACCCTACGGAGGAAACTCATTTCGGCCGCTTGTATCCACGATCTCGTTCTTTCGGTCATCACCCAAAGCTCATGACCATAGGTGAGGATTGGGAGGTAGATCGACCGGTAAATCGAGAGCCTGGCTTTCTGGCTCAGCTCCCTCTTCACCACGACAGATCGGCTCAGCGTCTGCATCACTGCAGATGCTGAACCAATCTGCCTGTCGATCTCCCGATCCCTCCTACCCTCACTCGTGAACAAGACTCCGAGATACTTAAACTCCTCCACTTGAGGTAGGACCTCTCTCCCGACCTGGAGTTGGCAAGCCACCCTTTTCCTGTTGAGAACCATGGTCTCAGATTTGGAGGTGCTGATCCTCATCCCAGCCGCTTCACACTCGGCCGCAAACCTACCCAGCAAGAGCTGAAGGTCAGAACTGGATGAAGCTAGGAGGACCACATCATCCGCAAAAAGCAGAGACAAGATTATCCTGCCACCAAACTCGACACACTCCACACCACGACTGCGCCTAGAAATTCTATCCATAAAGGTAATGAACAGAACCGGTGACAAAGGGCAGCCCTGGCAGAGTCCAACCCTCACCGGGAACAGGTCCGACTTACTACCGGCTATGCGGACCAAACTCACGCTCCTCTGGTAAAGGGACTGAATGGCTCTTAACAGAAAGCCACCCACCCTATACTCCTGGAGCGTCCCCCACAGGGTGCCCCTGGGGAGACGGTCATAAGCCTTCTCCAAATCCACAAAACACATGTGGATTGGTTGGGCAAACTCCCATGCCCCCTCCATCACCCTTGCAAGGGTATAGAGCTGGTCCACAGTTCCACGGCCAGGACGAAAACCACATTGCTCCTCCTCAATTTGAGATTCAACTATCGATCGGACCCTCCTCTCCAATATCTTGGAATAGACCTTTCCAGGGAGGCTGAGGAGTGTGATCCCCCTATAGTTGGAACACACCCTCAGGTCACCCTTCTTAAAGATGGGGACCACCACCCCGGTCTGCCACTCCACAGGAACTGCACCCGATGACCACGCAATGTTGCAGAGACGTGTCAACCACGACAGCCCTACAACATCCATAGCCTTGAGATACCCAGGACGAATCTCATCCGTCCCCAGGGCTCCGCCGCTGTGTAGTTGTTTGACTACCTCAGCAACTTCTGCCCCCGAGATTGGACAGTCCATCCCCAGGTCTCCCGGCTCTGGTTCCTCCTCGGAATGCGCGTAGGTGGGATTGAGGAGCTCCTCAAAGTATTCCATCCACCGTCCGACTATAGCCCCAGTTGACGTCAGCCGCTCCCCATCCCCACTGTAAACAATGTGAGCGAGTTGCTGCCTTCCTCTCCTGAGGCGCCGGACAGTTTGCCAGAACCTCTTTGGAGCTGATCGATAGTCTTTCTCCATGGCCTCACCAAACTCCTCCCACGCCCGACATTTTGCCTCGGCAACTGCCACTGCTGCACCCCGCTTGGCTATCCGGTACCTGTCTGCTGCCTCCGGAGACCCACAGACCAGCTACGCCCTGTAGGCCTCCTTCTTCAGCCTGACGGCTCCCGAACCTCTTGTGTCCACCAGCGGGTACGGGGGGTTGCCACCACGACTGGCATCGGCCACCTTGCGACCACAGCTAGCAACAGCCACCTCAACAATTGCAGAGTGGAACAAGGCCCACTCGGAGTCAATGTCCCCCACTGCTCTTGGGACGCGGTCAATGCTCTGCTGGAGGTGGGAGTTGAAGACCGTCTTGACAGGTTCTTCTGCCAGGCGTTCCCAGCAGACCTTCACTATGCGTTTGGGTCTGCCAGGTCTACACGGCATCTTCCCCTGTCATCTGATCCCACTCACCACCAGGTGGTGATCAGTTGACAGCTCCGCTCCTCTCTTCACTCGGGTGTCCAAAACATACGGCCGCAGGTCTGATGATACGACTACAATGTTTATCATCGACCTGCGACCTCGGCTGTCCCAGTACCAAGTATACCGATGGGCATCCTTATGTTCGAACATGGTGTTCATTATGGCAAAACTGCGGCTTGCACAGAAGTCCAATAACGAAAGACCACTCGAGTTCAGATCAGGCGGGCCGTTCCTCCCAATCACACCCCTCCAGGTCAAGCTGTCATTGCCCACATGAGCATTGAAGTCCCCCAGCAGGACAAAGGAGTCCCCTGATGGAGCACTATCTAGCACTCATCCCAGGGACTCCAAAAAGGGTGGGTACTCTGAACTGATATTTGGCCCATAAGTACAAACAACAGTCAGGACCCGTTCCCCGACCCGAAGGCGCAAGGAAGCTACCCTCTCGTCCCCTGGGGCAAACCCCAACACACAGGCAGAGAGTCTTGGGGCTAACAAAAAGCCAACCCCAGCCCTCCGCCTTTCACTCGGAGCAACTCCAGCAAAGGAGAGTGTCCAACCCCTCTCAAGGACTTAGGTTCCAGAGCCAATGCTATGTGTTGAGGTGAGTCCGACTATATCTAGCCGGTACCGCTCAACCTCTGCCACAAGCTCCTGCTCCTTTCCCGCCAGTGAGGTGACGTTCCATGTTCCAAAAACCAGTTTTGTTGTCCGGGAATCGGGCCGCCAAGGCTCCCGCCTCGGTCTGCCACACGATCCACACTGCACCGGACCCTTCATGCTCCTCCTGCAGGGTGGTGGGTCCACAGTTGGATGAGCCCATGTATCCGGTTCGGGCTGGGCCCGGCCGGGCCCCATGGGCGAAAGCCCGGCACACCAGGCGCTCGCTCATAGGCCCCAACCCCAGGCCTGTCTCCAGGGTGGGACCTCGGTAACCCTCCGGGCCGGGTACTCCGACTCTTTGATTGTATTTCCATGAAAGATCCTCTGAACAGTTCTTTGTCTCACCCTTCACCTAAGACCAATTTGTCATGGGAGACCCTACCAGGGGCACAAAATGCCCCAGACAACATAGCTCCTAGGATCATTAGGGCACTCAAACTCCTCCACCACGATAAGGTGACAGTTCAAGGTTTTATTCATCATCCATCAATGGAAAATCCCTAATACAACACAGTCTGACAGGTATAAAATAGTGATTTTGTGACAGTAAGAAGATCTCCAAAGAGAAATGTTGTTGATCTGAAATAATAAAGCAGTAAATGCAGTAGAAACAAGTGATGCTTCTAGCTTCCAGAGAGGAGGGGCATCTTTCCAGCCAATAGCACACAGCCAGTGTTTTTGGGAGCTTTCCAATATTAAAGTAGTCCCAGAATGACAACATAAACTAAGGATCCATTGTAGAAGGAGCAACAGCCATCAGACGCAAGAACAAAGGCATCAGAGCTGCTGTACAACTTGCCAACAAATAAACTTTAGGTTAGTTGGCTTCTGTTGTCTCCCCATGCCAGCGCTGGGTGTGGTTGTCCTTTCACCCGGAGATGACATGGAGGCCAGTAGGCAATTTCTACAGGTTTAGTCACACAGCAATTTGTGGAACACGCTGAGTCCTGCTTCTCACCTTCTAGATCTGTGAGTGTGTGTAACTGTAGCCACACCTCACTTTCCTTTTCTTGGCTGTTTTTTTCTCTTCCCTTTTTTTCTGTGTATGAATTCCCCCAAGGCACTCCCACAAAGATTCAACAGGTTAGATCAGAAAAATTTAGGATTGGATGTGGTTCAGCGGTTGTTATGATGATACAATAACCCGTTAGAATGAAAAATTAAGTTTTTCAGAGATGTTCAGGATCACGTTTAGGGCTTACAAAACCAGAGGAGTAAACAAAGGATCTGGGATCGTTACTGGGATTATTCTAAATTAGTTTGATTTCCTCGTCACACAGACACAAACAGCATGCAAGATGGACATGATGCTGTTGGTGTTCAGCATGATGAAGTCACATTGTTCCCTGTGAAGATCCAAGGAGCAGGCGTGGAGCCGTTTGAGCTGCAGGTACAAACCCAACAAGGAAAAACTGCAACCCTCACCATTAGATTTCACAGTTTTCTGTTCAATTTAACTCAAGGGTTTTTCTCTCTGTGCATTTTATAGGTTCATGGTTTTTGGCTAGTTCAAGATGCGCTGGTTAATCTGCTTTCCAAGAATGAGGTCCGTCCTCGCTCGAACCTGTCTTTAGCGCTGGCAGGTACAAACTTGGATCCCCATGCTGAACTGCAAAGCCTCAAAGGCCTGAAAGCTGGAGCTGTCATTCGCCTGGTGGAAGGTATAGACCTGCTTGTTTGTTTTTATAGTTCATGCTCATGTTTATCTATCGTCCTGTGTGACCGCATGCTTTAACTGTAAGCTCCAGTTCTCTTTAATGTGATAAAGATCTCCCTTAACACCATGGTCTAATTTAAGGACTAGGATCTACGTAGGAATGATGTTGTGCATCACTTCCACACACAATTGACATTTCTCACCTCAGTGAAAATGAGTCACTCACCTTTCTTTCAAGATTTCTTAAAAACATCACTCCATTTTTCTTTCCATAAATGATTTAAAATTGTGAAGTAAATCATTCCTTATGCATTCTTTATTGTTTTGTCACCACAACTGTTATTAAATGATTAAGAAGAAACCGGTTAAACCAACATGTCGCTGTAAGTCTGTGTAAACGACCATGGTTGTCCATTTCACACGTTCATTAGACCTTTGCCATGTTCCTGTGACTTTCATAAAGTAGGCCAGTCTAAATTTCAGTGTGTGTGTCTTTACAGAGCCTTACACTTCCCACTCAGCTCGGCTCCATCTGGCTCGTGTCGTGGAGATGCTGAGAACATCTGGACCTCAAGATGCACTGAGAGAAGGATGCTCACCGAGCGTCCTGGAGACCCTCACACACACACTAATGCCTGGTAAACACACAAGCTGCTCAAGAGAGAGTCAAAGTGGACAAACCTTGTGATCGGATCTTTCTTTGTGTTTGGCGCAGACTCAAGCTTACCAAACGGAAAGAATCTAAAGCGCTCTTTGAGTAATGCAAAAGCAGAATCAACCAATCAGGATGGAGCTCCACCTGAGTACCTGCTCCCAGGTTCCTCAGAGAGACCACTCATGGCGCTGCTGCCTCACAGTTCTCAGTCGGAGGTGAGTTAACGCCAAGAGTCTGTTTGGTGATCCAAATTAAAACAACAAACTGAGTCTAATAATCTTTATGTTTGTTTCTTCAGACCAACAATTACCTGAAAGACATGTCTCTGAGCTGCTGGAACCCTCCTCCAGGACACAGGAAGCTGCAGGGAGACTTCCTGTACATCAGTATAGTGACAGCAGAGGGACGTCGCTGTGATGTTACATCCGGTCCGAAAGGTTTCTTCCTCAACAGGTGATCGCATTTAGGATTTTTTTGTCATTTACATTCTCCGGCAGTGATACTAAGCTTCTTTTAATAATGAATATTAATAATAAACTGCTTCTTACAGTAAAATGAATGGGTAAATGAGTGATTTTGAAACTGTCTTCATTTTTCCCTGTTCAACAGGTCAACAGAAGATGCATTTGATCCTCGTCCTGCTCAGTCTTCCCCTGTTTGTCACTGTTTCACGGATCTGCTCTGTCACATCAGCCCTGCTTTCAAACAAAGCTTCACTACTCTTAAAAACAGGTTAGTAAACTTAAATGTCAGAAGACTTGCATGCAGATATTAGTGTGTATTTAAATTTCTCCTTCCTCTTTTAGACCATCACAGCCACCAGTGGAAGTGGTCCCAACTCCGTACCCCACCCTGAGCTGGCTCGGACCTCCCTGCTCCTCTCGAGCTCACAGAAACACCTTCAGTAGATTAGGGCTGGATGAACAGGCAGTGGCACAGGTTGTTTACAGCAGAATAATGCATTATAGTAGTTTGCTGCTGGCTGTTTATTGAACTGTACGAGTAGCTTTATTTTTCCACTGGTCATTTAGGCTCCAGACTGGAACGAGGAGTTACAAGTTGCAAGAGATCTTCCTCAGGGAAGTCTGGAGGAGAGGCTGCAGAGAGATCGAGCTCTGATACAGGTACAACACGGCTCTGCAGCAGGACAGCTGGCGAGTGTTTTCACGTTCACTTTTTTAACCCTCTGCTTTGATTACACCTCAGGTGAACAGCGCATTTGTGAGGGCGGTCTTGCAAGGAGCAGAGACTGTGATAGATGGATTTGTTGAACCTGCAAATGGAAACCCAGAGGATCCAGCGTTCCTCTGGGGCGGCCTGTTCATGAGTCAGGGGGCCGCGAGTGCGGTGTTTGGTGGTGAGAGGGGCCGCAGGTAAACGCAGAAAACTCACAGGAAAATGTGATGAGATAGTCTGAATGTGAAAATACTTGCTTTGAAATTTACAATTGTTGTTCATAATGAGTAGCATGGCCTTTTATCACATCTTCGGTAAAAATTTTGAGGTAAAGACCTGAAAAGATGCCTAACACAATGTAGCAAGGCTCATAACCTGTCTGTAGCTGTGCTGAAGTCGTAATTTGTGATTCTCGTCAATGAATTTAAATTCATAGTGGTTCTTCATCATGTCCTGGAGGAATCATGCTGTATGGAACTAGGATCCAGACTTGTACTTTTAACTTGTAATGTGTTTTATAACTCATAACACGTTTTGTAACATGCAGTTTTTGTTTTGTAACATGTCCATTTTTAGTTTTGTAACATTCTGTAACTGTAATGTTTTGTATTCTGAGATGTGTGTTTTCCGACACTGAAACAGCTTTTAACACCTGCAAGTAATAAAACAAATGTTTAATGTTACAAAACAAATGTTACATGTTACAAAAGTTACAAGTCACAAAACAAACGTTACATGTTTATTACATGATTCAAGTTATCTATAAAATTCTAGATCCTAGTTCCATATTTCTGCCAGAGTGTACAGTTTGTTCAATAACCAATAACCCATTAAAATAAATAATGTCTTCTTTTATATCATGTTGAAATATGAATGTATATAATTTTTTTAACCTGTTTAATTTTAACACTGACATGAATGAATTGATAACAGAAATAATTAACTAACAAGTGTTTCTGGATGATCCGCTGGGTGTTTTAGGAGTTTTCAGATGTTTGTGTTATTTATAAATGTAGTCACTCAAGCTAAACAAGGTCTAAATTTATCTGATATTTGGTATGAAATTGAAAGCCAGATGTTGGCTGACTCCTCTTGTATGGAGTTTTAGGATTGTCATTTTGGAAATAAATATCTTGTAAATAACTTAATGCTGAATCTAATGCTTGCACGATCTGTAGAAATGGCTCAATATCTATAAATCTCACTGAGTAGGAGCCCTTTTTTGTTTTCTATGTTTGACCAACTGAGGCAGAAATCTTGAATGGGGCCAATTCAAAAAATAGTTGAACATGTTCATCCAGAGATAATTTTTTGTAAAGCTTTGTTAAACTTCACAGTGGTTTGTAAATGCACAACACGCCTGCAGAAAGGCTCAATGTTTTGAAATCTGCTTTGACTCCATTTTTATTTTCTTCTCTTTAATGATATTTCAGGGCAGCTCAGAGGCTGGAGCTGAAAGGTGTGCAGGCTTACAGTGAGCTAGAGGGACTGCAGGGGCTGCACACTCTTCCTACAGCTGTCGTGGACTACAGAGGGGTGCGCCTGTCCACTCAAGGCTTGGCTCCTAGATTGGAAGGGTCAGAGCAAGATCAGGAAGCTTCTCCTCCCTCCAGGTTGGCTTGACAAGACAGTTTTTCTGAGAGTCTGAGCTGATGTTTATGATTTTACTTATTTTCCCTTCTGTGTTCAGAGGGTTGCTGTACGGGGTGAACGCGGGACCCCAAGAGTCCCCTCAGCGCAGACAACTGCTGTCACTTCTGGCTCACTCTGCCAAGTCTCTGTCTATCCAGAGACACACTGTTGTGGCCCCCCATGGTCACCAGGTCCCGCTGTTCACTGCTGTAGACGCTCAGGGGCTGCTGGGGGCCGATGGGAGGTTTTACTTACTTGATGTGTTCCGGACCTTTCCAGCTGATGCCAACTTCTGTTCAGAGGGAGTGACACAAAATCAGACAGCTAATGGGGACGAGGAGGGTAGCAACAGCTGTAAAGAGGATGAAGAGAAGATGAGTTGTGAGAAAGAAGGCTGGCCAGAAAACTATAAAGAAACCTCAGGGCTTCCAAAAAAGTTTTCTCATGGTCTCTGCAGGCTTAGGCCAGAGCTGGTGCAGGCTTTCATCCAACACAAGTGAGTTCAACATGAAAGGAAATTCTTTTGTATTCATTTTTTTAATTGAAATTTTAATTCCTTGTTAATTTGATGAAGACACTGCCAGTTCTCTCAGCGTGTCAAGGAGAAGTTGGATGAAAATGGAGGTTTTGAAGAATGTGCAACAGCCAGTAAGAGATTTTTTTTATTTTATTTGAAGAGATAGTCCACCCCTAAGTGAATTTTAGTCTGTTGCCATTTTCCCAAATTAGTTAAGTAGGAAAAAGCCTTTTTTTAACCAGTCCGGTCATTCACCTAATCAGACAGTATTTGGTTAGCTTTAGCTTAGCATAAACAATGTAAGCGAATGGTAACAGCTAGCATTTCAATTATTCAAAAGCTTCCATAAATACAAGTGTGTGGCTACTAGGCTTATACCCGGTAGATTTTTGAAGGAACAGCATAGTAAGTTGCACTAAAATGGCAGAGTAAATGATAGATGATGTGGGTGTCTTTTGGGGCTGCTGCATCATCTCCTTGCACATTACAGCAGTGCTTTAATGTAGTCCCAGGTCTAAATCAGCTCCTGTAATTTTTTCATGTTATTATTTTCATTTGCAGCTGATATTGTGATTGAGGTCACCAAGAAAATTTAGGATCGTTATTGAGTAATTGTCATGACTTTTTTTTACAAAAAATGCTAGCTGTTACCACTCACTTACATTGTTTATGCTATGCTAAAGCAAACAGAATACTGCTAGATTAGGAGAATGACTGGTTAGAAAAAGCTTTTCCCCACTAATATAAATCTGGGGAATATGGCAACAGACTATAATCCACTTAAGGGTGGAATATCCCTTTAAACAGACATCTACCTTTTGTTTGAAACAGGCTTTTCAATCTGAACTGATTTCTTCCTCACAGGGGACTCTCGAGCAACAGACGCGGTGCGAGCTGTTTGTGAAGAAGTAGGCTCAGTTAGTCACATCATCTTTGAAATGCGATTCAACCCAAACGTTTTCTCTCCAGGTGCACACACTAATCCTGCAGCCACACAAATCAATACACATGCTTCAGTCTGTTACCAAAGCTGCTGCTTCCGTTTTTGCATTTAGGGATAAATTTTCCTCCCAGCGAAGAAGCAGCAACGAAACTACAGGAGAGGCTACTGAGGGAAGCTGCAGCTTTCATCATCACACACCAGATACCAGAATTTGTAAGTGGCTCCATTCTGTTAGCGTCGTGCGGCTTGTGATTTAGGTGAATAAAATCAAATGCAGAAAATAAAATCTGTTCGCAGCTGCAGTTTTGTTTACAAAGCAACGAGGCACCGATGGATGGAGCTTCTCTAAAACAGGCTCTACACCTGAGAGGCATTAACCTACGGTACCTGGGGCACGTCGTCAAGGCTATTTCCCAGTCAGAACACAAGGAGCGCCTGAGACATATATTGGTTTGTCTGTTTTTTTTTCCCTCAAAGAGAAAAATAAAGGAACTCTCTGGGAACAATGTGCTTCATTGTGTCTTTTATCTTTCACAGAGAACAGCAATAGGTGACATCTTTATCCGCTCTACAAGAAGAGTGTTCAACAATTTCCTCCAGGTAATCTGCATTGTTCCTAATCTTCTTAATCTCCAGACACCCTGAGAGCTCATCAGAGAATGAAACGCAGCTTCTAATTGTTTCTTGATAGGGAGTGGATGTTCCAAATCTCGCCGCAGCCGTCAGTCACTTCCTGGGCTGCCTGTTGGTTCCCCACTTCTCTGCCTCTCCTGTCGGCGAAGAAACCAAGAAAAAGTCAAGACGGCGCGGCCGTGGAGCTGGGACTTCTGAGAACACGCCCTGGAGCATGCTCACTGGAGCAGAGCTGTGGAATCTGGTCTGCCAAGATGCTGTTGAAACATATGACATCTCTGACAGCCTTGGGTGAGGACACACAGTTCTTTCCGTTTCACCCCCACCCCCACCTGTGAGCTAAGAAAATGTTCCTGTCAGCGTTTAACTGATTTCTCTGTGACAGCTTGGGTCCAAATCACCTGGTGGAACACTATGGTCTTCAGAAGATCTCCTTGATCAGAGAATTCTGTTTAAAGACAGGCGTTCAGGTACCAGACGCCTGCAATGTGTTTAGTTTTAACAGGCTGTTTACATTAGGCTCTTAACCTGTAGATTGTGTCATATAATTAAATCTAACAACAAGCGTTGCTGTCAGGAAAACCTTTAAAACCTTAATTCTGTGTCTTCACCAGCTGCGACTGAGAGACTACGTATTCGACAATGTAAACAAAGCCCCCATAGGTCCAGATGACGTCCTCAACATCTTCCCTGTTGTTAAGCACATACAAATGCCGATTGCGGATGCTTCAAAAGCATTTAATGCTGCAAAGAACTCCATTCAGAAGGGTAGGTCAAAAGGAAGAGCGATCATTATGCAAGTGCATGTTTTTGATTACGTTTTTATTTCATATTGTGCAAAAGAAGAGAGATTGTGGTTTTTCTGCCTGCAGGTTTGCTGGTTCAGGCCCATGAGCAGCTGAAGGAAGCAGCATACCTGTTTGACAGGGCGTGTGATGATCTGCACCCTGAGGCGTGTCACTGCCATAGCCTGTTGGCCAAGGTGACCTACCTGCAGGGGAAAGCAGCTGAGGTATGCCCACAACTCCACAAACATACTCTGTAGGCCTGTAATAATAAATGCACTTCAAGACATTTTGTAAATGCTTTGTAACACCGGATGCTAATTGGTTATGGTCACTTTGACTTTCTATTGTCCAGGCTCGAAGTGTGCAGCTGAAAGCCGTGGTCATCAGTGAGCGTGTGCTTGGCTTCGACCACCCTAACACTATTCAGCAATATGTGAGTGCAGCTGTAAGTTTAGCTATCTGCTGCTCTGCCCCAGTGGGATTACCGTGATTGTTGCATTTCATCCACAGGCCCTTCTTGGTGTGTATGCGTATGCCGGAGGGGAGACAGCCCTGGCTCAGAAGTGTCTTCTCAGAGCTCGTCTGCTGATGCTAACGGTTCATGGAGAAGACCACCCGTACACAGCAACGCTGGACGTGAGTCACAGCGGCTTAGTAGCTGTTCATTAAATGCTCATAAATGTTCACCTTTCAAAGTTTCAGCCCTCCAATTATCTCCTTGCAGAACTGTCTCGGCTTGATGCTGACAGAAGATCAGACAGGACAATTCCTTAAGAACGCACTAAAACTCAACACCTCCTTCTTTGGCCCTACAGATCTACACACTGCTCTCAAGTAAGATCTCAATCAAAGCACATACCGTTGGTGTGTTTAAGTTATTCCAACTTTCTCTGTGCAGTCAGCACCTACTGGCCCAGTGGATGTGCAGCAAAGGTGACTACAGAGGAGCAATGACACGTGAGAAAGAGGCCCTCTATGCCTTCACCTTACTGGTTTGTAACTGTGTTACTGAGAGAAGTAAGTAAGATAGACTGTGAGTTTATTACCTAATAGTTAATTTCTCACACAGTTTGGGGAGGACCACCCACAGACATGCTGCAGCAAAGAGTTCCTGAGCACGATAACTAAGCAGGCAGTGAAGGTAGAGCGCACTTTGAGACAGGCAGGAGCTGACTGCACTGAGCAAGCTGTGGAGGTACGTACTGACCAGAACTTGCGTGAATACGTTTTAAACTGAGAAAAAAAGTGTTCTACTTTGCCATTTTCTCTGTTCTTAGTGTCTAAGCCCAACCTCTGACACCATTCTGGAGCAGATGGTTCTAGTTCTGGGCATCAGGAGGATCACACGCAGGTAAATATTTGCTGCAACATGCAGGAATGATCCCAAAAAGAAAAGGAAAATTAGTATTTAAACCTAATTTTTTATTTAAATTGTTTAAAAGCAACAAATTAAATATTTAACACTGTTAATCTTGAGATTTATTTTTATTTAGTGTCAGAGCAACAACTGACTCATAGTTAAACAACCCAAAAAAGGTTAAGCAGAAGTTCATATTTTACATATTGTTTTCTTCATATTGTAATATTCTGTCTTTAGTAAAATCCCACTCTGTTTTCACAGTGATAGGTTCCAGGAATATAAAAAGAAACACTTGGAGAAAAAGCTAGCTGCAGCAAAGGAACTGGGGTTCAAACTTCCAATGGCGTTACAAGTCTCGGACACAGGATGTAGGAAGGAAGCAGAGGATGGAGGAAACAGCGCAGACGAGAAGAACAGTGAGCGCGAACAGGCGCTGGTGGAAGACACGCTCGCTGAGAGTGCTGCGAGTGTGTTAGCTAACGGTCATGCACCAGAGCAAGCTGATGAAGAGAAAGCTGATGTAGATAAAGACAGAGAAGGTGCGGGTGCTAGAGTCCAGACAGCAGCTGAAGATCCAAAACAGTCAGACTCAGGGGAGAAAAAAGGTGAAATAAACGGAGGTGTGAACGTCATTCCCAGCCCACCGGTTCTTAAAAGTAAGCTGACCTGGGCAGATGTTGTTTCAAAGCCGACCAACGGAACAGGAAGCAAGGAGGCAAACGGAGTCGATAGCGTCACTGCTAATGGAGCAGCCGAGGAGTGAAAACAAGTTTTCTAGAGTCACTGCTGTAACTCGAAACTCTCCCAGGATTTAAAGTGTAAAGTGATCTAAAAGACAGTGATACATTAATAGGATGAGTTTTACTTTATTGTAGATGTTTCCGTGTCACAGATGCTGTATTGTTTAGCTTACAATAAACTTTCTACAAACATCTGTTCTCTTTTTAACTGCCTTGCAGCTAAATCTTTAATTATGTAGTCAAATTGTTGACTCCAAAAAAAAAATAAACTAACCCTGTCATATGAATAGAAAACATGAAGTTTGTTCAGAGAAACTGGAAATCATATCAATAAGATGCTTTACAAACTAAATAGCTAGAAATGATTTGATTTCCAGTAGTTGGCAGCTGCAGTCTTTTAAAACTTTCATTTTAATGAATGAAACATTTCTCTGCTTCTCTCAGTACCTTCCTGTTGTGGTTGCTGTTCAATAGGCGTTGTCTTAAAAATGTAGTCAATCTTTTACTTTTGTCATTCCAGTTTGTGTTGAATCATGATAAATAAACTGAATCCTGAACTTAAATTTTCTTCTAGCATGGAAGATTTAATCATCCTCTTCACAAAATTCTGATTATTCACACCAGTTTTATATGTGACAATTTACTAATGCAGCTTCTAACATAGCAAGGTTAACATTAACCAAAAACAAAAGCTTTTACAAAGCTGACATATACACAATGCTTTTTTTTGCAGAAAATTATAGATTCTTAATTCTTAGAGCTTCTTTTTGCAAATGTTTAGTTACCTAAGTTGTAAGCCCTTGCAGTCTGACAGCAAATAAAAAAGCAACATGATTGCAGTTGATAGTAGCTGTGATATAATAGAAACTACAAACATAGAAATGTACACTGAAATGGCAAAAACAACATCAGGCTTAATTCAAAGTGATCTGCATTATATTTTACTCCACTATAAAGTCTTAGAAAAACAAAACACGATACTGGCATCAAAAGAAAATTCTAGTTTATCTTTGTTTTTTTTTTGTGTTATTTATTTATAAATAAATAACAAAAAAATAACACACAAAAAAAGATAAATTGGAATTTTCTTTTGATGAGCCAGTATCGTGTTTTGTTTTTCTAAGACTTTGTAGTATAGAAAAATATAATGCAGATCACTTTGAATGAAGCCTGATGTTGCTTTTGCCATTTCAGTGTACATTTCTATGTTTGTAGTTTCTATTTTATCACAGCTACTATCAACTGCAATCATGCTGCTTTTTTATTTGCTGTCAAACTGCAAGGACTTTCAACTTAGGTAACTAAACATTTGCAAAAAGAAGCTCTACGAGGAGTGAATGTATATAAAATTAGCTTCCAGACTAAAACGTGTGTACTGCTATGAGTCACCTGTCAGAAGAGTTTCTGATGGAGATGATTCTCTCAGTGTAATTTCCAAATCTGAGCAGTCTAGGTACTGAGGCTCGGGTGGCTCTGTCCAAAAAGACTGTGTGAGTCTGTTTAAGCTTTCTGAAGGAAAGGTGATCACAGCTGTATCACCAAACACATCAATCTGATGAGATGGGCAAGGAAGAAGTCTCTCCTCACACAAATCCACAGCCTTACTGATGTAACTGTAGTCCCGCTTCAGCTCCCGCTCAATGGTCCTGCAGCAGAAAGAAAATGTTACCATAGCTCCAATTCATCTGCTCAAACATGTCGGTATGTACAAACCTCTCTTTTATGCCGTTAAAGCTGTTTCCAATGATCAACACCTGAGATAAACCTTGTATGCTCCAGTTCTTCCACAGGAGGTTGTTGTAAAGGGCTTTTCCACAGTGCATTAGATAAAAGAGAGTGGGTTTTGTGGCCAAACGCTTCCCCTCCTGTACAATCAAGGGGCGGAAAAAAAGCAGATTTATTCTCTCTGCACTGATTTATCAACATCTAAGCTAGTGAATAACCAGTGAAATCAAACAGATAGCAAAATGAAATGGCTGGAGTTGTAACAGTTGTTTATTTGTAACAATGGTATTTATGGTAACATTATATCTGTATAATCTACTTCATAGTGTATACCTGAAAACAGTGTTTTACTGTTATTTATTTCAAAAATACTCAAGCTCTTGTCAACTGACCTCATTTTCTGTGAGTACAGTCAAACCCAGCTCTCTTAAGACATTCTTTTCAGCAAAGGAGAAGGCAGGATCATAAACATAGCAGTCCCGCAGTAAAATCTACATGGACAGGGGCAATAAAGCACATATTTTGCATCAGAGTTTCACAAGTATCATTTATAACACAGATGGAGTCGATCTTCTCACCTGTCTCGCATCCAGAAGAAGCAGCAACATGGCAAGTTGGTAGCGAGCGGCTACACATGAAGAAAAAGACCCAAGACCATAACAAACACACATCAGTGTTTCTTCTGGGGCTTTTTCCAGCTGATTTTCAGTGTCACTGTCCCCTGGAGGTTTTAGGGATGCTGCTGCTGCCTGGAAATTCTCTGAAGAGAAGATGATCCACTAAATAACTAAGCTTAACTCAACCTACATATCTACAACAAACTCACCATTCCAGTCTTTCCAAAAATCTTCGTACTTTAGTTCAAACCTAAGAAGGAAAGATATAAGCAAACCAATAACTTATGGGAAGATGTATGATTTCACCTATTATGCAAGATAAATATTGTTACTCATATATATATATATATATATATATATATATATATATATATATATATATATATATATATATACATACATACATACATACATGTGTGTGTGCGTAACTTCTTACATGTTGTCTCTGATTCTTCTGATGAGTTTTCCAACATCCAGTTGCTCCTGATGGCATGATGGTGAGTTTAGAGGAACTTGATGAGATTTAAATTTCCTACATACACCTTTTCGACGCCGAGCTACCTGCCATTCATCGGATATGTACGACATTTGTGTGAATTGCCAGATGTAATTTACATAAGTACATACATTTCCAAACGTAAGTATCATAAAAACATGGAACTCAAAACCAAATTTAGCATTTTGAGAGCTGTACGCTAAAAATGGAAACGCAGATGACCTATTCAAGTGCAACACATTGTTCTGTTTCCGGTGTGATTTCCGTCTAGTTAAAAGTCACGTAAATTCAACAGATTTGCTGTTGTTCGATTGTTTTTATTTTAAAAAAAATATTGACCGCTTTATAAAAATGTATGTGTTGAATGGTTGGTTTTAATTAAGCTGCTTTTAAAATATTAATGAAATTATTTGTAGTGTACATTAATTGAAGTGACACGGCTAAACCGGAAGAACTTGCTTTTGACAAAAATATATCATTCGTCAACAGTTCGTGTCTCTGCAGTTCGTCTTATTACCACATAAGATATGTGTTTTTGATCTCAGACCAAGGTTGTAATTAATATTTTAGTAAGTTAACTTAAACGAAATCGTCGTTTTTTATCACTACTAACATGTTGTGTGTATTTACATTAATGCTACAGAACGTGCGTTATTGCTAGTAATTAGCCTTCGCTCCGTTTTCTTCTAAGCAGATTTGTATAGTTTTATAATCGATGTTTCACGTTTAGTCTTATTTGTGTATTCATCGTTATTGATTGTAAACCTTTTTGTCATTATTAATTTATCGTTAGTTAAACCACAAACGTTGACTTCATACCTGACTTAGTTATCGCATTTTATTTCCCTCTTCTTTGCCTTTAATAAACTAGATATGCATCTTTTTCCTGATTTTGAAGTCACAATGTTTCTTTCCTGGAAAATAAATGCACGTGTAATTTTAGGATTCGGTCACATTTCATAAGATCTATATTGTTTATAACTTGCAGAGATGTCAATGTCCCACCTTTACGGGCGGAGGGAGGAGGAAGAGGAAGGTGTGGAGGTGGAGAGTTTTGAGATTACTGACTGGGATTTAGCCAATGAGTTCAACCCAGACCGTCGCAAATTCAGGCAGAGCAAGGAGCAGGCCACATATGGCATCTGGGCCGAGAAGGATTCTGATGAAGATGAAAGGCCCAGCTTTGGTGGCAAGAAGTATAAATGGCTTGCTTTTGACACAAATTCCAATTCTGAAACAATTTCTAACCAAATGTTCTAATAAAATATTTATGATTTCTTTTTAGATCCAAAGACTACACTGTACCTGTGAGCTTTGTGAGTGGTGGTTTGCGTAAGAGTGCTGCTGAAGAGAAAGAGCGGGAAAAAGAAGGCAGCTCTGACGACTCTGATGATGATACTTCTGCAAAACTCCCCCCTTCACGCGTGACTGCACCCAAAAAACTCCAGATGGTAATTTTTAAATGTGCGCACATTGTGATGTCCATTGTTTGTAGAAGAAAATAGTGAAAATAATGATGTTGGGAAAAAATGTTTTTCTAGGGTAATTTCTGTGGAAATCAGTCTAAGAGGTTTGCAGGTGGAATACAGTCTGGACAAGGAATTGGTAACTGGGAGAAACACACCAAAGGAATTGGACAGAAACTTCTGCAGAAGATGGGTTACCAGCCAGGGAAAGGCTTGGGGAAGAATGCTCAAGGTGTGTTTAGTTGACTTAGATTGTTCTTTTAAAAATGTTGTAAAATGTTTTGTTTTTTACATGGATGTGGTGGAATTGAAACACTTGTAATGTACTTTCTCTCTGTAGGTATCATAAACCCCATTGAGGCAAAGATCCGTAAGGGAAAAGGAGCGGTTGGTGCTTATGGCAATGAAAGAACCCAGCAGAGTCTTCAGGACTTTCCTGTAGTTGACTCAGAGGAAGAAGAGGAGAAGGTAAAGTACTGAGAAAAAAAATTGTCTTTACAATGTTGTTTTTATTTTTGTGTTTGATTTTATTGATCAAATGAGTCTATAGAGTCATTGTGGTAATTTTCTATATCTTTATATAGGAATTTCAGAAGGAACTTGGCCAGTGGCGTAAGGATCCAGCTGGGCCTGCAGGAAAAAAGAAGCCCAAGTACTCTTACAGAACAGCAGATGAGTTGAAGGCTAAAGGTAAAATAGTGAGTCGGAGCACATCTGCAACTGCAGGAGAGCTGGCACAGGTCAAGGTATGTTTATGTTTCACTTGTGTGCTGTTTGTTTTTTATGTTGGCATGGCTGCATAGGTGCAAAATTGAGGATTCAGTGTTTTATTAAGCATCAGTAATTTAAGTACATTTTGGCTACATTCATAGTACTTATTTATCCTGACATTTCCCTTGGTCTAGGTAATAGATATGACTGGAAGAGAGCAGAAGGTATACTACAGTTATAGTCAGATGTCTCACAAACACAGTGTTCCCGATGAAGCTCCACCAAGCTTGGCTTCACAGGATCAAAAGGTATCTGGCTTTGCTCTCCCCGAACTTGAGCATAATCTGCAGCTTCTGATAGACCTGACAGAACAAGACATATTACAGGTAAGAGGAAACCAAGAATTATTTACAACATATTTAGCTACAAGAATAGGATATTAATAAGTCAGCAACCTGAGAAAAATGTGAAGAACTTGTAATCTCTACTAAAGCGTTCTTTCTTTTTTTTGTGCATCTTTTGTAGTCTGCCAGACGTTTGCAGCATGAAAAAGACGTGGTTGTTTCTCTGAGCCATGAGTCAAAAGCTTTGCAGAGCAGACTGGAGTCAGAGCAAGAATCCATCCGAAGAATGGAAGCTGTCTTAGCATTAGTGGAGCGTTTTCCTTCTGAAGAGACGGCACCGGGAGAGGGCCCGACCCTACAGGTTTGTGTTACAAACACTGACTGGAGCCGGTCTGCAAGCTGTTCAAATTAAGGAGTTCCAGCTTTATATTTCATAATTATGAAGCTGATTTGTAGTGCTTGTCTCTTCAGGAGTGTGCCCAGATCTTTGAGACATTACAAACCGATTATTATGAGGAATACAAGATGATGGGATTGGCAGATTTGGCTGTGGCTGTCATTCATCCATTGCTTAAAGAGAAACTCTCCTCCTGGGACCCTGTGAAGGTAGTCTTTTACAGTTAGAGGAAACCACATTTTTAGTAAATGATTAATATCCAAGCTAATTCTTGAACGCTTTCTGATCTTTTCAGGACAGTTCTTATTGTCTGGAGGATATCGGTCTGTGGAGAGCAATCCTTGAATCCAGAGACATGCATCCCAGTGGTCCACATTCAAACATGGATCCTTACCACAGGTCACTTTAAACACCTTTTTTTAATATATTTATGTGTTTAAATTATTTTAGTTTCTACTGCAACTTGGTCTTGTGTTTTAGTAAAATGCTTTTTATCTCTTTGTTGACCCAGACTATTATGGGAGGTGTGGATCCCAGTGATGCGGTCTTGTGTGTCAGGCTGGCAGCCTCGGATGGTTGGACCAATGGTGGACTGTATGGAGATGTGGGTTCCTCTTCTGCCCCCGTGGATCGTGGATCACCTGCTGGAGCAGATGATCTTACCCCGATTACAAAGAGAGGCAAGACACATGCTGGAAGACTTTCTCACATTCTTGTGCATTTCTCCTGTTGTTACATTTTGCATCAGAAGTGTGGTTATTCAAATTAAATCTACTAATATCTTCAACAGGTGGATAGCTGGAACCCTCTAACTGACACTGTGCCTATTCACTCCTGGATCCATCCTTGGCTGCCTCTGCTTCAGTCACGCCTTGAGCCTCTTTACCCTCCAATTAGGAGCAAGCTGTCCAACGCTTTGCAGCGTTGGCATCCCAGCGATGCCTCAGCCCGCCTCATCCTTCAGCCGTGGAAAAATGTTTTCACAGCAGGTGCATGGGAGGCCTTCATGGTTAAAAACATCATTCCCAAACTAGGTATGTCTTCAGCATCCACCACCCGAATCAAAACTGCAGTACAAACCTAAAAAAATCCTGAACGTTGCATATCATGACTCCTGTTTCAGCGTTGTGCCTGGAAGAACTGGTTATCAACCCCCACCAGCAGCAGATGGAGCCATTTCACTGGGTGATGGACTGGGAGGGCATGCTGTCCCTCTCCAGCCTGGTGTCTCTGCTGGAGAAGAACTTTTTTGCAAAATGGTTGCAGGTCAGTATCACACAGACCTATTTGAAAATGTATTTTCAGCTGTTTGTTGTGGTTCATTTATTGAATTATATGTGGTTTTAGGTTCTGTGTTCATGGCTGAGCAACAGTCCAAATTATGAGGAAATCACCAAATGGTACCTCGGGTGGAAAAGCATGTTTAGTGACCTCTTGTTGGCACAGGCTCTCATTAAAGAGAAATTCAATGAAGCTTTGGACATCATGAACCGTGCAGTGTCTTCTGGCATGGGTTGGTATTCATGATATCAATGAAGAGAATATAAACTTGGAAACGAGATGAGCAATAATTAACACTTTGGCTTTTGTTCTTTTTCACATCGACAGGTGGTTATATGCAACCTGGTGCAAGAGAGAATATTGCATATCTCACCCAGACCGAAAGACGAAAAGACTTCCAGTATGAAGCTCTGCAGGAGCGCAGGGATGCTGAGAGCGTGGCTCACCGGGGCATCAGTGCTGGTGTGCCAACTAACTTCAAAGATCTTATTCAAACCAAGGCAGAGGAGAACAACATTGTCTTCATGCCTTTAGTGGGAAAACGGCATGAGGGGAAACAGCTGTACACATTTGGGCGTATTGTTATCTTCATAGACAGGGGTGTTGTGTTTGTGCAAGGAGAGAAGACCTGGGTTCCCACATCTTTGCAAAGCCTGATCGACATGGCAAAGTGAGCTCAGACACACTCATCATTTAGTCTGCTAAGTCTGAAAAGAGTAGCAGAACTGTTTTATGTATTAAGAGGATTTCAGTATAATTTGTACAAGTCTGTAAATTTGAAACACTGTCAAACTGTGAATAAACACTTATGTTACTTACGTTGTTAGACTGATTGATTTCAAAGTAGAAAATTATATATTTAGGTCCTGTAATTTTTAGTTTGATGCAAGTTTGTTCTAGATGGGTATCAAATGGTGCTGCATATGTAACCATTAGAAATTAACTTCTGATTGTACGTGATGCAAAAAAACTTACAGATGTTCCACTTAAGAATTAAGTTTATTGCCACAATACAAGGTAACAATCAAAAGAGTGAAAAATATGAACAAAGATCTATGCAAATAGATTGCTCTTATAGGACTGAAACACTGTGCATCGTGTCAATATGATAGATCTATAACTGCTTTATGAATACATTTGCATTAAATGGAGAATTACACTTACAAAGAAAATAACTAATATGGAAAAATGTCTGCAAATTTATAATATTACATTTACATTTTTGAAATGACTATTTGTGGAATTTCTTAAAGTTACAGTAGCTTTTAGGACAGTAGGTCGCGCTGTGTCCTCCGTTAGCGCTAAATGCAGTGCTTTTTGGCTCTTTTGGGCTCTAGATATGAGACCCAGAGCGGCGCCGCCATATTGGATGGGCCTCCTCACTTTTGTTTTAATTATTATCATTAAATGCTTATTAAAATTTCTCGTGAGACAACAACACATAATAGAAACATACAAGGCATCTTTAGTAACAATAAAAGAAAAACAAATAAACTTAAAAAGAGGTACTTATATCACAAAGTAAAAACATTGTTACAAGATTAAACATTTTTCGGCAGCATGACAAATGGCTTTTGCAGTTGCATTTGAATTTTTTATACGAGTCAAAGTGGATAAGAACATATGGAATTCATTTGTGAAACAGTTCATGTTGCCTCATCACTCTAAAGTCAATCCAGAGTTATCAACTATGCCCGGCAAAAACATCACGTGGATTTACTAGTGCCTTTTCTAGCCTACCTGATAATATTTTTTATTTTATTTTTATTTATTTCGTTTAATTATATTTATATTTTAATTATGCCATACATTGTGTCTGATTTGGTTAAAAAGCTTGATATAATGTGTTTTTAGTTGGGTAAGCAGCAACTTCATCAGTAGATGTAAATGCACCGCAGGCGAATGGAGACCCATCTAAGATGGCAACCGGGCGCTACGGCAGCTGAAATAGGCAGCGCCTGTCCTTGGAGCGTCTACGATTACGTATGTCTGTGTGTTGGGCTTCCGTCCTAAATCGACAATTTGTATGTAGAGGGAGTTCTCGTTTTTACGTGTACTATTCTATCAAGTAAAGACGTAAGTTTGGACCAAGTGAGTATTTGTCGGAAAACATACTATTTATAACCACAATGAGCGCATAATATCCGTCAAAATATTAGTTCTATTAGTTTAGTATACCGATGTTAGCTACAAGCTAACGGTTATTAGCCCGTGTTAGCTTGCATGCTAACCGTATGTCATTGTTACTAAAGTGATGTTTTCATCGGTGTTTTTTTATCGGTCTAAAACTCTTTATTTTCACATTCTAATAGCCATGTCTTCCGACGTTCTTAAGAAGCGGAAATCGAAGGTTCTCCGCAGTGAAGCAGGAACCCCGGAGGTGAAGCGGGGACGTGGAGAGGCGGACCAGCAGGTAGACAGAATCACTCAGAACTTTGTAAATAAGTGGTGTCCAATCATGGACATGTAGGCCCACTGTCCAGCATCTTTTTTTCAGCAGCATCTAGTTTGAATGAATGGATAGTTAGCATGCCTCTGTAAACTTGAAAACACGAATCTGTTAAACAGCAGTGGATTTGAGCAGGGAGATAACTAAAACATGCAGAATCGTGGCTCTCAGTGACCAGTATTGGACTTCATTGCTGCGATGAATTTACTAATTGAAGCTTTAATTGTACTTACTGTTGAGTTTACAAATATACAGAACATTGGCAGTTAAAAATGTCAGAGTTTGCACATTTTATTTTATGTGATGATCAATCAAACAGGGACATTTTCTGCCTCTCAGTTCACGTCCTACAGGTTCCTTAAAGTCAAAGTTATAGTTTTTATAGGTGTTTGAATATTGAATTGCGGTTAATTCATCCACATAGTATTACACAAGGTTAAATCTGTTTTTGTGGTAACAATTGAACATCTCATGTTGAACAAGTTCACAGGAATATTCACAGCACATTATGTTTTTAAACACTAGGTTGCATGTTAGCAACCCAAAAACAATAGTGAGGTAGGTGTGTAATAACTTTAGAATACTATGAAGTAGTATATTATTGATGGTTTTATTATTGCATGCTTGTTTCTTTTCCCAGGATGTTCGTGTCTATAATGAGGAGGTGGAATTGGATGGCAGGAACCCTGAACAGGACTTTGATCAATACAAAGAGTCATGTGAGGCTTTATCCAAACTCATGAGTGAGATCCAGAGGATGAAAGCCTCTGGTGCCAAGGAAGGGGTAAGAGCCATAATCTCTACAATACATCACAGCAGTATACAACTTTCCTTTAGTTTCTTTTTCAAACGTTTCCTTTTCTGCTGGAAAATCTCTACTAAACATCTGTTCCAGATGTTTCTTTTATTGACTTTTTCACATGCCATATCAAAGCTGTAAGATCTGAAGTTAAGTGTATGGGTATGAAAGTAAATATCCATATATATATACATAAATGTTTCTTTTTAAGAGTATGGATGTCGAGCAGAAACGTATGCAAAGCTGCATCCTCTTCATGAATCTTAAGAAGCTCAACCGTCTAGCTCACATGCGACTGAAAAGAGGCAGAGACCAAACACATGAGGTAATTTTCACAAATCTACTTTTGAACTGTGGAAAAAAACTGTTATAATTTAAAATGTTTTGTTTACTTTCTGGAAAGTGTTTGTTTGTTTTGTGCTGATTGCAGGAGGAATGTTTAACAAGAGGCACCTTTTTCATTTTAACATTCAACCACAGTGAAGGCTACAGTCAATGTGCAATACCAGTTTAGTTTTTGTGTTCTTTGTTAAGCTTTGAGTGTTTTACTTCAAATTTGATTTACATTCATTAATATGATCAAATGCTGAGTTTTGACAAGCATGCATTTATTATTTTTTAAAGGGTTATTTTTTTTGTTACTTTACAAATTTCATTGGTGATTACTTTTTCTGTTTCCAGGCTAAACAGAGAGTTGATGTGCTCCACCTTCAGCTGCAAAATCTGCTCTATGAGGTTATGCATCTTCAGAAGGAGATCAGCAAATGTCTGGAGTTCAAGTTAGTACTAAATTCTTTACTTGACTTCAGCCTTTAGTTTTTTCAACACTTTTTATTTATAATTTAAGATGAAATAATCAGTTTTATTAAAAGTGTTTAAGGATGTAACAACATATCTCTATAAGAAACCACTAAACAATTTGTTTCTTTTTAATTTAACATTCTCAGCACTACTTGAAAATTATCCTGTCATGTCTAATTAAATTCTCCGTCTCTTAACAAGATCTAAGCATGAAGAAATTGACTTGGTGAGTGAAGAAGAGTTTTACCAGGATGCCCCGCCGGAGATCTCCAGGCCTTCTCTCACAAAAACCGATCCCCACCAGCTCACACTAGCACGGCTGGACTGGGAGCTCGAACAGAGAAAGAGGTACAGAACTTTACCACGAAATAGTACACATTTGTATTATTGTGGTTACTTTTTGCTATTCGGTGTAGTCTTTGTCTGGCAGAGAGCAGCTGATTAAAGTATTTTTTGTTGGAAACAGGCTAGCTGAGAAATACAAGGACTCACAGGCCACAAAGGAGAAAATTCAGAAGAGCATTGAAGTGAAGAAAGAGCATCTAAGAAGCTTGCAGCCAGGACTGAATGCTATCATGCAGGTAAAAATAACAAAAACAGATTTTTAATGAAAATTTTACGCTTCCAAGTGAAATATGTCCGCTTTAAGATAGTAGGAGATTGCATATGATTGCATACAATATTTTATAAATGTAATTATATGTTTCTACTTGGTCATCTTTTATCACTGTGTTTTATTTAGATTTTATTTATCAGCTGTTAATGTTTAATTTGTTTCTTAACTGTTATCTTAGTCTCATTAGTAAACTAGTGTTTCCTCTGTGGGGGCCGGCTGCCCCGGGGGCAGCGGTGGACTGTGGTGGCCGGGGTGCTTCATTTGCCTACTCTTACCAAGGCTATTGCTGCCAGTCTTGGTGCTCCCGGTGCAGTTGGCTCCTTTGATGGCGTTTTCGTCTTCTTTATATGTATTACATCTGTACTCAGCCAGCTGCCCTTTCTTTATTATGTGTGTGTGTGTGCATGTGTGTGTGTGCGAGCGAGTGTGCGTGTGGGATTTTGCATCTGCTTGGGATGGGATTGAGGGTGGGAGGAGGGAGAAACAAAGGGGATCTCTTATGTGAATCTGTGTGGGAGGGGTGGGAAACCGACTGCTGTCTGGTTGTTTTTAATATTGTAAAGCGCTTTGAGCTGCATTTGCATAAAAAGTGCTTCATAAATAAATTTTGATTGATTTTTTGATTGATTGATATGTACAAGTTCAGAAGTCCTATCAATCATACAGTGACATCATCCTTGTCATTGCTGGATCAGTGAAAAGAAAATGTGAATTTAGAGTTTTACTTTGTATAACAATTGTGCAGTACCTAGTTAGTACATGTCGCATATAGTTATTCTGTTTGTCTCAATTTCTTTTAAAATGTATGAATTGATTCGTTGTAAAGAAAAGTAATCACCACAGAGGTGAAAGTTTAACCATCTTTCCTAAAATTGATTCCTGTTAATCTGGTCGTCACAGGCGTCTGTTCCAGTGCAGGAGTACCTGTCCATGCCATTTGAACAGACGCAGAAACAGGCTGAGATTGCCCGCCACCTCCCTCCACCCCTCTACGTCCTGTTTGTTCAGTCAAACGCATACGGCCAAGCCTGTGGTAACTGACTGAATTTGCTGTGAATCAAACTAAATTGAATACACTTTTGGCTTATAAGTGGTTCATTTTCATGACACTTTTTTTTAAATTTCAGACAGAAACCTGATTGTTTCGATCAGTGGGGATGTGGATGAGGCTAAAGCCCTGTCCAAACCTCCCGATGATTCCCAAGGTACGAAAGACACTATACAGGCGTGTTTCCATTGTCGGGAGCGTCAGGGTAAATTCTGGGAGGGGAAAAGTGACCTGGAGATACAATGGCCCGGTCCTTTCAGCTGTTGTCTCCATATGAATTCAGTTATTTCAGGACTTTGCACAGACGTCAGCATATCGTGACTGCTTAAGTGTCCACAGTAACATTTAAAGTTTTATTTATCATGTCTCACGGCAATTTAATTCATTTGGAAGGCCAAGAGAGCACTTGTGTGTTGTAAAATGTAGTGTTCAATGACCAGAAGAAGCGCAGTTTTTTACGGCGCTTTGTGAGACAACAAAGCCCCATGAATTGCATCATTGTGGGGGGGATTTCCCCTTCATTTTTTTGGTGTAGTCATGGCAGCACGAATGGTACTTATTTGTGTGAGCTTCCATTCTACTTCACCAGCAACTCTTCAAATTTTACTAATGCCGATTGTTTTGGATGATGTGCGCTGATGTCATTTCCTACTGATTTACTATCAATCAGTGTGAGTTAACCAAAAGTTCTGCTCAGCTACTCTGCCGGGCCTCTCTGAGTACCAACCCCTGTTCAGGTACTCCGAAAGTTCCTGAAAACGGCCCGTTCGACTGACCCAGTGAAGTGGAGAAGTGCATGCTGGGAAGTTCCAGTAAAATTACCGTGAAATTTCGACAGTGGAAACCCATCTCATGTACTCGCCTTCATTCATGCAAGCTGTGCACATGGCATCCGAACTCACAACTCTTTTATTTGTTATTAGTAAGTATTGTTTTAGGTCAATCTTCAAAACAAGCAAACGTGTTTTTCTTTAATCTAGATGATGAGAGTGATTCAGATGCAGAAGAGGAGCAAGAGAAAACGGTACGTTTCTGGTTTGCCTTCACTCTAAAACACACACCACACACACACACACACACACACACACACACACACACACACACACACACACACAGAGAGGTCAGGGAGTTCAGATGTTTCTAAATATACCTGCATCAGACACACAAACATCCTGAGGGCTCAGCTTCCACGCGCCGTGTTCCGGTGGGATGGAGAGTGGCAGCCATCGATTGACTGTTGCATCCGGAGGCCAGTGAGGGATTCTGGGAAATATTCACTAAGACTGAGGGAGGGGACTGTAACCTGATTAATCTGGAACATGCACACTCGGCAGCAAAGAAATGTGCACTTTTTAAATCAAGATGGCCGTCAGCAGTTGGGTGGAGACATTTTCTGAATTACAGATTTACTGGAGCCACCTACATCAAAATGTTATTGCATTCTTTGGATTTTATTATTAAAACCTATTATTGGTTTTAGTTAACAATTTAAATTTAGTTTTTGCTGCCTATATATATATATATATATATATATATATATATATATATATATATATATATATATATATATATATATATATATATATAATTGTTTTGCTGTTCCTGGGCTGTCAATTCTGTTACAGTTTGTTTCAGCCTTTAGAAATAACTTTTGAATGCATCCTCGTGTCTAACACAAGACCTATTCTGTTTTTTTTTTCCTGGCTCTACTATCAGTTTACAGATTTTTTTTAAACTGCAAATCGAAGCCAGTGTTCTGATCTTATTTATTTTTGTGTGTGTGTGACAGAAGAGAAGGCGACCAACTACAGGCGGCCAGCTGGATGACAAACGACGAGAGATGCTGAAAAGACACCCTCTGTCTCTCTGCTTGGACCTTAAGTGTAAAGGTAACTTTTCTTAATGGCGTGTAGTAGAACTCTGTAGAAATCAACCTCATGTTTTTCTGCAGGCAACAAGACTTGCTGTCGTTACCCAGCATGCACACTCATATTTACATCCCCTTTTGTCTTGCACACCTTGTAACGTGACATTGTATACATTGTGCTGTGTTGTAACTTTACACCTTTATATAGCGTGTGAAAGAACGCGTGACCCACTCTGCTATGACATGACACCGTTTGACCCTCGTGTTCCCTCTGCTGGCAACTAAAGGAATCTGATGACAGATTATAGGGAGATCTGCATTGCAGGCATAACGCTACCTCAAGTGGGAGGGTGGGGGCGAGGTGAGGGAGAAACTAGCAGCATCGTAGGTCTGCAGCACCTACAGAATCTTGTAAGCATTTTCTCTCAAAAGCACTCTCTCCCTCTTACTGACGTTTGTTCCTACATCCTTTTCTAACTCTGGCCAGCTGCAGAAGCCTCTTTTAGTGCAGGAAAAGCAAAATGTGAGCTGTGTGGCTGTGAGTGAGTGACAGTGTGTCTCTGAGTTCGCCTTTACTGCAGAGTGTCGTGCTTGAAAGGTAACCATCAGCGTTCTTTGTGCTCCCTGGGTGCTGCCAGCTCCTGTTCTGACCACACCCAGTTGCTGCTTTCTGACTCACTGCAGCGTAAAACAAGAAACCCAGGAGGGCTATCACTGGAAGGATTCATAAAAAAGACCCCTACACTGCAGCGGCTTGGTTAATCAGCACATATTTTTCTCTGGTCTCAACAGACGGCAGCGTTCTTCATCTCTACTTCTTCTACCTCATGAATCTGAACATCATGACAGTCAAGACTAAAGTCTCCACCACCACAGATCTCAGCTCAGCCATCAGTGCAGGGTGTGTGTTGACAGAGCAATTGGACATGTCCTTAATGAGCTCCCAAAGGTCTAATGATGACTTCTTTTTTCAGGGAGCTTCTGAAGTCAGACACCCTCCTCAGCTGCTTGTACACTAATGACCAGGGAAGAGAAACTCCCAATCCAGCCAATCGCTACCAGTTTGATAAAGTTGGGTAAGTGTGTCAAGCAATCAGAAGCAGTATGAGTGTGTGTCCTGGGTCACACAGTTAAATTTCTCTTTAGGATCGTTTCATTTGCTGATTATGTGGAGGACCTGGGATATCCCTACATGTGGGTCCAGAATCTCGGAGGATTGCATTTTCCTAGTGAATCTTCAGAGGTGTGTTACAGCATCTAGAAGTATCCCAGCAGAGCAAAGTTAAAAATGTAAAACATTATTTTTGTTTCCCTGTGCCAGGGTGTGCTTGTGGGCAGTTCCCTGAGCGCCAGCCACATGGAGAGCACCATGAAGCTGCTGAGGGGGCGAGTCCAGTCCCGCTTGGCTCTGCAAAAACAGTTTGCCTCGTTAGGTGTGACAACTACCAGTCCGATACTTCCGATTGATAATAATTGTAGAGGAAACTGACTGTGTTCCTGCCCTCAGAACACAACATTATCCCAGTCTCCAGTGAGTGTCAGCATCTGTTTCCAGCCAAGATCATCTCTCGTTTAGCACGTTGGACCACCATCAGTCACCAGGAGTACATGGTAGAGTTTAAGTCTTTCATAGTTTATTTGAAACAAATATTTTGATGCTTTTCTTTTGTTTATTTGTTGAATGAGTGTGTTATTGCTCTTGTTTTGAAGGATCTGCCGTATACCCGTCATGTAACTGAGGCTGGACTAGCCAAGGAGACAGACCTGTTCTTTATGGGAGTCCTAGAAAGAGGCACGGGTATGTCCAATCACTGAGAGCAGAACTGGCTCTTGTTTATTTGTTTTTTCTCCAATAAACAAACACCACGCTTGTCCTTCTCTCAGCTCGTCTCCATGCTGCAGTGGTTCTGAGTCCTCGTTACCCAGCGATAGCTCCTCTCTTCTCCCTGAGTCTAAACTGGAAAGGAGAGTGCAGCGGACGCACTGATGACAACCTCAGAGTATGAAAATCCAGAGTTTTAATGTTTTTCACAGGGCTTTTTGAAAGCTGTGCCTCCTATAATTATAGAATATACATGACCTGTCTTTAGGCCATGGAGAGTGAAGTCAACATTTTCAAACACGAGCTGCAGGGACCACGGCCGGGACATCAGCTGCTGACCAATCAGATCGCACGGATGTGCGTCTGCCTGGATGTGTATTTGGAGACTGAAGGACAAGATGACAGCGTAGAGGGACCTCGTGAGTTCCCCCGAGAAAAAATGTGCCTGCGCACTGTCAGGTATGCAGTTATTATTGTGTTGTTTTTGTGTGTGTGTTTATTTTACAAACGAGATAAAAGACGCTGACTAGATTAACCTGTTCTGTCTCCATGCAGGGGGCCAAGTCGTCTGAAGCCATTCAAGTACAACCATCCTCAGGGTTTCTTCAGCCACCGTTAATCGTCTCTACACTCGTCATCACGTTGTCTTTGTGACGTTTTCATACACAAAGTCCTCTTTTTAAACATTTTGAAAATAAAAGAACATCTTAGTGTTTTCTGGAACAAATGTTTTTTGTCTCTGGCTCTTGTGCACGTAGGCTCACTCTGTATTTTTGTGTTTCATCACTTTTCTGTCCTCTTAACTTCTTTTGTACTGTTCTATTTATAGCTTTTTTAGTCAGAGATATCTGATTATTATTCTGTTGTGGATCCCTGCTGGAGCAAGCTGAGTCATTTCCACAGAGGCCTGTGGAAGGCAACATTTTGCTTAATGTGTGCAGCTGACCTTTGACCTCTCAGGCTTTAGCAGCGTGTTCTTATTGGAAATATGGATAAGTTATTTTAGCACTTGTATCATAGCGGGTTTTGGTTTAGCATCACAAGTTAAGCTCGATATCACGCTTCAGAGTTATTAAATTATAGATGATTCTATGTAATTACACTGAGAGTGTCTATATTTAGCAACCCCAGTGGCAAAGATTATAATTTGATTCATTAGATCGTTTTTTCTTGATTTTCTAACTTCCACTTTTGGTGTTTTGCGCTGCAGCAGCTGCTTAAAGCTGAGAACAATAATTTGTCAGCATTTATGGACAAAATACCACATCAGCCTTTTAACACATTGTAATTCAAGCATTCTCAGAACAAAAAAGTCGTTTCTGTTTTGCATGGCTTGCAAACTTTAAATTGGTTTTCAACTAGTTTATATAAAAGTGATCAAAGGAAATGATGGATGAATGGTTTAAGCAGATGGTGCAGACTTGATAGAGGATCCAATCCCATCAATAGTGTTCTATTTTTAGTGTGTGTGTGTGGTGCATGCAGGAAAAACATGCCAGTATGGTGGGAGGGGCTCAGGACAGGGAAGTGGAAAAGCAAAGCTGGAGAGGAGGAGGTGGTGGGTGGATCTTCAAGGAGTTTTAGTTTATAGGATTTCTGTGTTCTGCAGCTTTGGCCAGCGGTCAGATGTAGAGAGAGAGAGAGGACTTTAGACAAAAGATGTCCTCCAATGTCATCCAGAATGTTTTTAGTGTCAGTCTCAGGACGAAAAGGTTTTTTTTCTCAGTATTATAATCTACAGAATGATCTAATGTGATTTGATGTTATTTTTAAACCAAAACCTATTTTTATATCCTGCTGCAAAACTCTAAAACCAGTAACAGACCCGTTTAACTCTTGAGATAAATATTTTTTTCCTAATGAATAAAACTAAAATATTTTAGAAAATGTTGAGAAAAAGTTAAATTTGTAAGAATAAATAAATAAATACGTGTGTAAGATTATGAAAGTTGATCTGGGACTTTGGAAGAGTGGATGTGAGGAGGAGGAACAGCGCTTGATTGATTCATACATGAACATGATGTGAGGAAGGGTGCAGTGGCTGCCAGGGGTGGGCACAGCTCCCCCTCTCTTTAGCTGCAATGCAGTGCAGTAACTCTGTTCACCTTTTTGCTCCCACACCTTCCTGACTCTCCATAAAATAAAGGTTAATATCCTGTTTTGCAGAGTAAACACATTAGGAAGACGCCACACTGCTTTTGTGTTTGTGATTTTTTTTAATACTCTTTATTTACTGTTTCATGTTGCATATTCTCAGCAGTTTATACATAGCACAGTCATCATCCTTTGCAGAGTGAAGGAGTGAAACACCACAGTTCACCTGTCGGGAGAAGCTGCATCAAGGTGCACAACGAGCAAAATTCAAGTCTTTCTTATGATTTATCTGTGAATATAATATAGACATTTCTTTTTTCATTAAATAAACATAATGATATTAAGTATCTGTCGCAGTCTTTAGATTGACAATGTTTTGACGCGTCTACCCTTGAAGGCTCGTGCAGGTGCAGCAGGATGCTGCTGTCCCACATCAAGACTTGGTTTTAATGCACTTATTCATTAAGGGCAGTCGTCACATTCACTTAGAGTTTAAAGCATTCTGCATTCTCTACAATCACACACCAGAAGCTTCAGGGGGATGTGATGGCCATACTTGGGAAGCGAGGGGATTATTTGCTACAGAAATCAATATTGCTTACATACTGTTACCTGCTTTGCTTTGGACATTAAATTGTGTGACCAGGTTGCATCCAGCTCCTCAGCTCCACACGTCTCATGCCTTTGTCCACCTCCATCTCTCAAAATTCTTTGGCATCTCCTTCTCGCCTTTTGAAGGTTAAACGCAGCAATCAGTTTTATTTCTTGGCCTTCTCCTCCTTGCTCTCCTTTGCCTCGGTGCCAGAGGACTTTTCTGCTTTGTCCATCTTTGCTCCCTCCTTCACTTCTTTACTCTCTTCTTTACTTGTTTCCTTCTTTGCTTCTGGCTTCTTCTCATCCTTTTTGCTTTCTGGCTTCTCTGGCTCTGCTTTAGGGGCTGGCTTTTCTTCGGGCTTCTCCTCCTTCTTGCTCTCGGTTTTTTCAGGTTCTGCATTAGAAGCTGTCTTTGCCTCAGGCTCAGCCTTTTCTGACTTGGGAGTGGAGGGTTCCTCCTTCTTGGCAGGGGGAGCACTCTCTTTGGGCTCAGACTTGGGGGCTGGTTTGTCCTCGGCGGGTTTGCTGGGAGTTGTGGGTTTTGGTTCTTCTTTTTTTGGTGCTTCATCCGTTTTGCTCTCTTTCTTCATGTCGGGTTTGTCCACCTTCTCTGGTTCTTTCTCTTTTGGCTCTGGCTTCTTCTCCTCCTTCACGGGCTGCTCTTTCTCCTTCTCCTCTTTAACAGGTTGAGGTTTCTCCTCTTTCTTCTCCTCTTTCGGGGTGTCTTTGGCTGCAGGAGGCTCAACTTTCTCTTTTTCTGGAGATTTTGGTTCAGGAGACTTGGGAGCGGGAGATTTAGACTCTGGGGATTTTGATTCCTCTCCCGCGGGAGACTTAGCCGGTGATTTGGGCATGGGGGATTTGGCTGCTGGTGATTTGGGTTCTGGAGACTCAACAACAGAAGATTTAAGAGTAGGGGACTCAACTTTTTCATCCTCATCTTTTTCATCTTCTTTCTCTTCCTCTCCCTTTTCTTCCTCCTCTTCTTTTTCTTCCTCTTTCTCCTCCTCTTCTTTTTCTTCCTCTTTCTCCTCCTCTTCCTCATCCTCTCCCTCCTGCTCTTTGGTTTCCTGACCTTCCTTTTCTTCCTCTTCCTCTTCTTCTTCATTCTTCTCTTCTTCATCCTCATCTGCCTCTTCTGTCACCTCTGTCACTTGGGTCTCATCAGTCTGTTCCTCCACGATTACTGTATCTGAGATGTCCTCGCCTTTCACCTTCATGTGACCTGAAATCCTGCTCTCCAGGTATGAGTATGGAATTCCACCAGACACAAAACGGTTCTCCTCTCCCTCCAGTAACTTCCTGTTTCAAAGACACAACCAGGGTGGAGTTTAGAAGGTTTAGCTTCAGCAAATCGGGGAAAATGTGTGTTTTTGGACCTTGACTAACCTATAGGCAGCTATCTCAATATCCAGAGCCATCTTCACATTCAACAGTTCCTGATAGTCCCTCAGCTGGCTTGCCATCTCCCATTTGGTGTTTTTCAGCTCATTTTCAAGGTGATTAATGGTCTCCTACAAAATAAGAACACAAAACCCGAAATTTCAAGATAAAATGTGAAAATGGGTATTTCTACTGCTTCAAGTGTCGATGCCTTGCCTGTAGTGAGCTCAGGTCATCCTGGTGTCTGTCTTCACTCTCCATCCGCTGCCTCTCCAGCGAGTCCTTGGTTCCCCTAAGAGTCTCCAGCTCCACGGTGCGGCTCTGGAGCTGGCGGCGGTAATCGGCAATCTCTTCCTGGGATCCACGGATGGCATCCTGATTAGATTTAGCCGTTTCAGAGAGGCGCTCCACGCGCACTGCAGGGGAGAGAAGCATTTTCAGCATAATTTCATATTGATTTTGTTGCTTTTGCTGTGTCATGCAACTGGAAATGAAAAAGACACAGATCCGGATGTGTGCACATGGATTGAACTTTCTAGACTTAATGAAAAGACAGTCGCCACTAAGAACCTGAGTAACCTTGACACTGTCCATCTGTCGGTTGGTCTGACTCAGCTTCCCTCGTCTTCCAGCCGTGAATGAGCCGATGCTGCAGTCAGTCGGACACAGAGGTCATCCGGCTCGTTGGCTAATTCAGATCAGCATGCAAATTCACTGTAGGAGTGTATATTTCAACTACAGAGTCTTGTGACATATTTGCACACTAAACCTTATTGGCTTCTTGTCAGCTAGCCCTATGTGTGAAGCTGCAAAGGTCAGTCACAAAGTACTTTGCTTCACAAAGATAATCCGTCATATCATGCCACGCTAATAGGAGAGGCTGGTTGCTACAAGAGCAGGTGCCTTATCTTGTATTCCTGCTGGCACGGCATCCTTGAGAAGTGTCCTTATTGTGGAAGCCCAAAGTAAAACTCATCAGCACAACAAAGGCATCCAGGAATGACAAGCCAAAAGCCACATCCTGCCACCTCCAGCCAGGGTGTAAATTAATCACAGTCTGCAGTCTAGGAGTGATTTCAGTCTGCAGATTGCCTTCAGTAATAATGATCATCCTGCAGCAGCAACACAGCCACAGAAAAGGGGTTAAAAATAAACTATATGGGGTTTATGTCCCTTTAAAAACCTTGTTTTTTGTGATCTAATATTATTTATATGTATTTGCATTTTGCAATTAATAAGACTGATTTAATATAATATATATATATATATATATATATATATATATATATATATATATATATATATATATATATATATAGTTTTAGAATTTAAGTAGTAGTTGTCGGAGCAAACCGCTCTGATGAGCTTCAGCACCATGGACAGAGGACCAGCATCTTTACGCACTGAAACCGACTGAAACACAAACCCAATCCCCCCATCTTCTAATGAATCCTACCTTTGAACCATTCTTCGGCGTGCGTGGCACTCTTTGATGCATGCGTGTCCAGCTGCGAGCGGATCTCTCGCAGTGCGCTGGTCACGTCCGTCTTCAGCGTGTCCCTCAGGTCAAAGCTCACCTGTGCGCCCTGGATCTGCGCCAGGAGCTCCGCCACCTCCTCCTCATGGTTCTTCTTGAGAAAAGCGGACTCTTCCTCCAGAGCTCGGAGCTTCTTGTCGAGCTCCAGACGAGCCAGCCGGCATTCCTCCACGTACTTTTTCATTGCGCGAGCGGCAGCCTCCATCTCCTCCCGGTTCCGAGCTTCATCCTCCAGCTTGACGCGCAGCTGCTGGATGTCCTCCTCCAGGTGCTCATGTTCCAGAGCGGCGCGGGTCTTCTCACCGGTCAGCTGCTGCAGGAGACCCCTCAGGTCACTCAGCTCCCGCTCGTAGTGCTCTCCGATGGAGATGCGTCCGGCCTGGTTCTGCCGCAGCGCCGCCGCTTCTGCTTCCAGGTTGCGGTTGTGCATCTCCAAATTGCGCACCTTGTCGATGTAGCCGGCGAAGCGGTCATTCAGAGCCTGCAGAATCTCCTTCTCGCTCCTCCGCGCCATGTCGCCGTTGAAAGTCTCCAAACTGTCTACAGAAGAAGGCTGGCTGTATGTGAGGCGGCGGCGTTGGGAGTGGAAGCCGCTGGAGGAGACGGAGGCGGGCCGAGCCTTGCGGTAGGAGCTCGGGCCCATGAAGTGGTGGTCCACCGTGAAACTCATGCTGGCTGTACCTGGGTGAGGACTGACTGCAGTAGGAGGGAGAGCGCTGGGTTTATATAGGAGGGAGGGAGAAGTCTGTAGTCAGCAGCAGCAGCAGCAGCACTGGTTCTTTTTAAAGAGACATATTTTGCTCAGAAAACTATTGCCTGCAGGTATCTGACTCCACACCGCATCTGATGACTTGTTCTAAGATGCATCACTTGGTTGAACAATACACGTTTGTAGCTTTAAGTAAAACCATCAACTAAATCCTCATTTTGTATAAGAATCTTAAATCACATCAAATTTATGAAGATGTCAATTTCTTTCTTTATTTTTAATTTTTTGCAAACATTTGACGATTTCTTTAAGATGCAAAGATTTATTTAATGGATGGAGTTCATGTGCACTGATGTGGGTGTTCAGTTTGTTCTGCTGTTTCACTGCTGCAGTGTGATTTTGCAGATCATCCCTCTTGGGGTTCACCCCTTTAGGCCATTGACAGCTCCTAATCTTGGCAGCATTGAAACCGTTCACCTGTTCATGTCATGCATTTGCTTATTTTTGCTTCTGATAAATTATTTGCAAACTAGGTTACAGACCGATTAGGAAAACTTAAAACTGTCACATTGAAGAGAAAATTGTTCATCCGGGTGTGTTTGGTGCCATGACATGGCAAAAACAAACCTGTCTGCTGATTTGAATGTCTGCTCTGAGGGCCCTCTCTGAAGAGCACAAGCAGCACCTATTGATTACCCAGGGTGAGAGGGTTTACACAGCATACCTTGACAGAGTCCTGAGAATTCTGTATCCCTCAATCCCTTGAGATGTCGAAGAACAGACAAATAAGCACTCGGTGGTTTATCTAAATCAGCCATTTTTCATTGCTGAGAAATGAGGTAATTGAAATGTATTAAAGACAATATTTTTATTTCAATTTAAATAAAAGTTATGCAGACCAAACAACTAACAGATCATGCAGAGCACGCATGAAGGAAAAGTGCTGCATTCCCCTCCCTCTGGACCACGCTGCATTTTTTATAAATGAATAAAATGGAGTCAGCTGAATAGATGTGATACTATAAATGGGTTTGATGCACCGCACAATATTGTCCCTGTTGTGGAAAAGACTTGCATGTAGGTTCAGCGCTCAGGAAGCAGCCAGGTGATGCACAAAACAGAGTGAAGGGCTGCATGGCAATGGCAGGCACAAAAGGTAGCATGAATGTGTCTTTGAGTAGCAATGGAAATGTAAAATAGTAAGAATAATGTGCAGAAAACGAATAAATATTTGTTTTGTTGATAAAAGTATTGTCTGTGGCTGTTTGGAACTTAAATAAAAGACATGAGGTGTAAGAGGACTGGACAGCAGAAGGTAAAGAATGCAAATATAAGAGAAGAAGATAAGGTGTTGATGGAGAGTTGACAACAACACAGTGGAACAGGGAGAGCTAACAGGGAGTGACCTTGGTGGAGACATCTAGAAAAATGGCAGTCCCTGTAGTCTCAAGGATGACTCGGCTGAATTACAACAAAGGCTTTGAATTGTACTCACCTGCTTAATCCTGGAAATGCATATACCTGTATTTGTCTGCACGGGAATTTGGTTACATTTGATGGAAAACCAAGATGGTAAACCAAACCAAATCTTTATTTTATAATGCAGAGTTGAAAGGTCAAAGCAAAAAGCGTCTTCGGTCACTTTAAAACTCCAAGATTTTTAGTTTTTAGAAGAGAACATTAATGAGGCTCACTCACAGCACCACCTGCTGGCCGTGTAGCAGACTGCCATGTCGTTCCCAGCTCTGGCCGCAGGGGGCAGCAGAGCGCCGCAGCAATACACAAGAGAACATATTACTTCCGGTGTTAGCTCACTTCTTTTGAAGAGGGAAAGTTAAACCAGTAACTTTTATTTTTCTAAAACAGCGATTAGATTTCTGGTACGATGTTTCAACCTATGTCTTTATTGGTTAGTTGGACACAGGAAAACAACAAGTTAGTACATAATTTTAAGGTAGGTCACAACTGAAATTAACGGCATAAAAATGTGTAAACTAGGCTGGTGTAATATTGGCTATCCAAAGCCAGTGCGATAATTGAAACCTTTAAACGTAAATACCATCCAAGGCTTTTTGGAAATGTTAAGAAACGTCTGAAACTTTTACATCAATCTGAGTGTTTTGTTATGCTCTAACGTCAGAACTGTCAAATAGTTGCCTACTACGAAAACATCTGGAATTTTGTCATCTTTTGATCTACCTGTTTTTTCCATTATAGTTTTTGAAAGTTATTAATATTTTTTCTCATTCTATGTCCATATGATGCAGTTTCTGTTAGAAAGCTGGCATGTAGGCAGCAAGATATACCTACATATGAACAATATCTGAAGCTCTTTTCTTCAAAAATATGATTTTTGTTTTATATTTTAACTATGCAGAACCAAGCCTTTGTAACATGTTGTGCATGAATGTACACTTGGATAGTGTCACGTGTGAAATCAGCAAAGGGTGTCACATTTCTCCCCAGATTACAAAGAAAGCTGTAAAATAGCATTATTTGTTGATAAATAATAATTAACTTTTTGGCTGAATTGAGGAAATTTTATAACACATCCTCATAATGTAATTACATGTTTTTGATTGTTTCAGCAGCAAGATCCGCAAGATGTTTTCAGCCAAGAACACAAGCAGAGTAGTCTGACACAGCGTTCCTCTGAGTTTGACAAACTTTTGAGGCAAATACAAGGTGTTTAATTTCCTCTGTCAGATCACTCATTATTTGACTTGAGGAATTGTTTGTTTTCATTTTTTTTTTTTTTTGCAGGCATCCCTCTTGACAGACATCATGTAGAGCTAGAGCTTTCGGTGGTGTTTAATGCCTGTGTTCGTTTAACTGCTCAGTCTCAGCATGAGCAGGTTGAGCTACTCCTCAAACAAGCTAGAGAAAGAGGTAGGCCTCAGCCTGAAACGTTCATATGCGTCATTGGTAAAGAGCAGCTTCACTGAGAAACCATTTTTGACTCCTGATTATAATCAGTTACTCTGAGTTTAACATACAGGCTGAATAGGCCTCTACACCTATCTCCTTCATTTCTGATAGACTAAAGACAGAAAAATGCTCGGTTCAGAAAAGCCTGATAGATCTATGTCTCACTGTCTCGTAACATTCATGTTATCTCACGACGGGGAAGACTTGTTGTTTTAGCATCCAGGAAACAGCAGAGAATGTCTTGAATAGTAGAAGCTAACTGTTAGCATTAGCAACTCAACAACATGGTAGAACTCCTCCAGGCTTGTGTTATGGAGATCAAACAGCAATGATGCAGAGCAGAGTCATGTTGCTGTTTGTCAATCAGAGGCGAGATGTCTAAATATCAGTAAATATGACTCCAGTTCCTGCCTTCTGAAGCAGCTTTTTCCTCTGACTGACTTCTGTGTCTTCAAACAGACACCAGAGCTAGACCGCTTCCAGTCGGTAACAAGATGGCACCTGTACTTGGCTTAGCCGCAGTCACCGGCCACTTTTTCAAATTTTTCTCCACTAATCTCCTCTTTTCCACCTTGCTCCTGTCTGTGATCCTCCCCCTCAGCCTTATCTCTGCCTCTCTCGACTCCAACCCAGCCTGTCATCTTAGATAGCTTTGCTCCTGTTTCTTTGCCTGAGCTAGCCTAACTAGTTAACTCTATGAAGACCTCTGCATGCCCCCTCGACATCTTACCCTCATCTTTGTTTAAAAGTGCTTTTCAGTCCATCGGTCCAAACATGCTCTCTATAATTAATGCTTCTCTGGTTTCTGGTCAGGTACCTTCTTACTTTAAAGGGACTTTGTGGAGTTTTGAATTTTTATGCTCGCGATTGCCCCCTCAGGCCAAAAGCGTAACGGCAGCTTCAATAGTAGGCTCGTGCACGAGAGGCACATGCTGTACGTGCACACTCCTTAACAAAAATAACAGCTGAGACAGTCCCTTGTGTGTGTGTGTGTATGTGTGGCCGGGAGGACAGAGGACAGGAGAACGCGCAGCTAATTAATTAAATAAGTTCGTTCTGTACCTTTCTCTTCAGCACAGCCGACAAAGGTTTAAGATGAAACTTCTCTTCTTAGGGTCTCTAATGACCTTCTGACTCACAGTGATGCAGGGGACTGTTCTGTTCTGGTCCTGCTGGACCTGACTGCAGCCTTTGACACTGTTGACCATCACCTGCTACTGGAGAGGCTGAGAGACTGGGTAGGCCTATCAGGATCTGCTCTGGAGTGGTTCTCCTCTTATGTCTCTGAGCGCTTCTTTTCTGTGTCCGTCTCCCAAGTTTAGGTCCTCCACCACCTCTCTTACCCATGGTGTCCCACAAGGTTCTGCGCTGGGGCCTCTGCTCTTCCTCCTCTATCTGCTTCCTCTTCAGCACATCCTGACCTCCTTCAACGGAATATCCTAACATCTTTATGCAGATGACATCCAACTGTACATGTCCTTTAAGACCCATGAGATGTCTAAGCTGCAGCTGTTACACACCTGTTTAGACTCTATCAAAACCTGGATGGCTGGGAGCTTTCTTCAGCTGAATGAAGATAAGACTGAGATCCTCATCTGTGCCCCAGACAAGCTGGTTCCCAAAGTCAGAGACTCTCTTGGTCAGCTTGCTTCTCACACCAAACCTTCTGTCTGGAATCTTGGCATGACCTTTGACCCAGCTCTCACCCTGGATTCTCATGTCAGTTCTCTTGTTCGCTCCTTCTTCTTCCATCTCAGGAACGTTGCTAAGCTGAGTCCTATTCTGTCTCGCTCTGAACTTGAGACAGTTATCCACACCTTCATCTCCTCACACTTAGACTACTGTAACTCTCTTTTCACGTGTCTGAGCAGAACCTCCCTGAACCGTCTACAGGTGGTTCAGAATGCCTGTGCTCGGCTTCTGACCAAGTCCTCCAAACACGCCCACATCACCCTGCTTCTCCTCCAGCTTCACTGGCTGCCAGTCAACTTCAGGGTTCATTTCAAGATCCTGGTTCTGGTCTATAGGGCCTTACATGGACAAGCACCATCTTACATTGGTGATCTTCTTAGTCCCTACACCCCCAGCAGGTCCCTGAGGTCCAGTGATCAAAGCCTACTGGTTGTGCAGCGCACCAGACTAAAGACCAAAGGTGACAGATCATTTGCTGCTGTGGCCCCCAGACTCTGGAACTCTCTCCCCCTGAGCCTGAGATCAGTGGACTCCTCCAAAAAGCAGCTGAAGACTCACTTGTTCAAGCTGGCTTTTGTATGACCTTCTTCACCACTCTCTCTTTATTCTGCTCTCCCCACCTATTCCACCTTCCTCAGGATCCACTGATTTCCCTCTTTCCTATTCACTCTCTCTCTTTCTTAACATTTTTTAAATCACAATTGTCTTTTTTTGCTAATTTTAAATGTATTTTTAACGATTTTCTAAATTATTTTTTATATTTTGACAATTTTTGTTTTTTGTGAAGCGCCTCGTGATTTTTATCTTGAGAGGCACCATAGAAATGATATTTTCTTCTTTCTTCTTCTTTTTTCCCAAGAGAACAACTTAAAAGGCATTCATTCCTATAAGAGACCACCCGCTAATGTATTAAAAATAGGAATAGAGTTGACCTTTAGTAACAGATACAAATTAATTCCAACTCTCTCGTTTCTCTTGTTGTGTTTTTACAGTTCTGCAGATGACTGGATGTCTTTCTGGTTCTTCGGACTCTCTTGTACTTTGGAGAGCGGTTCTCAAATCAGTGAGAAGCACAGCTTTTCATCACTGTGTACTCTACCTTCTCTCTCTGCAGTGGGCAGTATGGCTGACCTGCTGCCAGCTTAAAGCTATACAAGATTTTAAGGTAAATAAAGTTTTTTTTTTAGGAATGCTACCATCTCACTTTGTGCGGTTTGCAAGAATTGTAGCATCTTCACATTTGTTCATGAAACATCTAACATAAAATTAACACAAGGTTTCCAGTTCCAATGGAGCTGCACAGGCTAAAGCTTAGATTTACTTGTTTTTATGGACATTTAATTTTTTTTTCTTTTTTTAAATCCAGTTGGAGATTTCTGTTCTGTTGGAAACACTGAAGGAAAAAGGTGGGGATGATTGTAGGATGGAGGCAAAGGGAAAGTTCCCAAATGTTCCTAAACTGTTGATAAGTCCAATAAGGCTTGTTGAACTGTTGCAGATCTGCACCGTCATCACTCAAGGTTAGCACGCTCATACTTTTTCATAAATGAATTTGAAGTGCTGAATACAAGTTATTGTGATCGTATTTTAGTATTTAATTCATTCAATGCTAATAAATAAGACTTTTATTTAATAAAAATAAATTACAGCTAGGTATTTATGGAAAGTGCATGGAGAAAAATTTCCTGAGGTCATAATACATTTCTGCGACATACTGGGATTAAATTACCGTAGACCACACCAAGGATAGACCGATAGTCAGCCAATATATCAGGCCGATTTTTACCTTTTTTTTTAAATGTAAAGCTGCTTCTGCAGTTATGCCTCTTTAGCAAAGCAGATTTAACTGGCTATAATAAAAAAAACATATGAGTCGACCTCTAGACCTCACCCAGAAACTAATATAAGATGCAGATTTCAGTCACACTATGATCTCTCTGTGGTACATTAATTATTTTAAACCCAGACCTAATATTGTATTTCTCTGAGGTTTATTTTTAAATGCAGTCATTAAGAAATTCTGCTTGTGTGGAAAAAGGTTATTTACTTGTTGTTTTCTGTTTATTTAAGGTGCTGAAAAGCTGCATGAGGGTTTGGGCTCCGAGGCCCTGTCTGATCTTCAGGCAGCTTCTCTTTTACCTGCTCCCAGAGCTCTTATCGCATATACACACCTCCTGTCTGGCTCTTGCCTCGCTCACATGGTACAGATATTTATATGTTCCATATTCAAACACTAAAAAGAAGTTTCCAGGATTCTGTGCCTACAGAGCGTTTATGTATTTATGTTTGTGTCCAGAATCGCCCTCAGATGGCACTGCAGTGTTACAGAAAGGCCGTGGAGACCGACTCTGGTTGTGTTTGTGCCCTCCATCAGAGCGCACTCGTCTACCGGCAGCTAAAAAACTCACAGGCTGAGATCCAAGCCCTTCGTCTTCTGCACTCGGTGGGTAACACAAATCCGTCCAGACATGCATACACGGAGACATACGAGGACGTTTGCTAGATGCTCAACTCGTTTTAACAATGTCTCCTCACTGCAGATTAAATCAAGTTATTGTTAAACTTTCACTTTTAGACTTTACTTTTTAGTAAAATAGCTCAATTGAAAAAAAAAACAGAAGAAGTTCTCACTGACATAATTGGTAGGCTGCTGATCTGGAGACTCATGAATGAAACCTCTCCTGTCCCACAGACTTTGTTGTTGCCATCTTCTACAGAGCCTTTTGAGGCTGGAACCCGTCTTCTCTCTCCATCCTTATTTCTGCGCAGCCAATCGCTGAGCAGCCTGCTCTCAGTCCCGTCTGCTCTCACTGTCCTTCACAGTCTGGCTCTCAAATGTGTGCTGCATGGCAGGTGAGGAGTCTCTGTAGGAGCCATATGTGTTGTTTTCATTTTCTTTCTGCATACATGAGAGGAGGCTTGGCCTCATTTGATTGGTAAAGTGGAAGCACCAGCCTACTTAAGCCAACGCAGATTAGACTCGGGGTGGCTGTGACGGGACAAGCAGTTTTTTAATGTGTGGCGAGGACTGTGGCTGTGTGTAACGGACTCCGCGGACTGTCGTTGGGGCAAGTAACGCACTCATTGAAAACCACTTTAACTGCAGTGAATGGATCATGACTTTGTGAAAGAAGACAAATAAATAAACATCATCAGAAATAAACACAAGCTGCAGTTCTTTTAAACGCACGTAAAGACCACCAACCGCCTCAGTAACCAGTAGTGCCAATGTATAGGGCATTGGTATTACAGTCTCTTCCAAAAAAAGTACTGACAAGAGCGGTAGAAAACATGTGCATTTAACAAATGTGTGTGTGCTGTTTTTGTAGAGTACCAGAGGGTGTGGAGCACTATCTGGATTTGATGGCTGCTCTACATTCAGAAGATCAGCCTGGAGTGAGAGGGAAATCAACAGACACACAAGTACATTTACTCTAAGAATTTCTAAGAAGTCACAGATCATTCAGGGAAAGAATTCTTCCTGAAATTCGATGTTTGTTCACTCAGGTGCACACTAAAGTCTCCTCCCTCCCCAAATTACCCAGCCTCTACCTGGAGGCTGGAGCTGCCTTGCTCATGGCCCAGCGTCCTGCAGATTGTATGGTGGTCTGCAATGAAGTCATTGGCACGATGCAGGAGTTGCTTCCAGAGAAAATTGTGTTGCAAGAGCCAGAAGAACGAAGTTTGTCTCGGACCGGGGACGTGAGAGTAGAAGGTGAGGATAGGCTGGAGGTGCTGATCTGCACGGCGGCTGCCTACCTCCTTCAGGGTCACTGCTACGCTAACACAAAGGACTGGAAGCAAGCTGTCACCCACTACACGAGGTTATTATAATGAAGCATGTTTTACTATGATCATATTTTTATAGATTATAACTGAAATGGTTGGTTTTATATGTGCCTCTATTACAGGTGTGTCGGCCTGCTGGTGAAGGTCCACTACAAAAACAGAGGCAAGTACTTATTTATGTTAAAGAAAAATCTTTATTTATTTTTTTGTCTAGTTTTGCTCATTTCTTGGTTATTTACAGGTTTCCAAACACAAACTCCCAGTCCAGACACAGATGTCCAATGGGGAACAAATGTTTGCATCCTTCAAAGGCTTAAAGGACTTTCATTAGCTGGTAGAGGCATCAGTTTCACCCAGATGGACCGGCTGAAAGAGGCCCTCAGAGACTTGCAGCTCAGCCTGCAGGCCCTCCCAGGTACTCGCAGCATAAATAAACATGCAGCTAAGCTCAAATGTATTTTGACGTATCACTATCATTACTGTGTCACTATAGATACTTGTTCATGCAGAGAGTATTCAGGTTATAATAAATGGTAAAATAATGCCTGTTGTTTTGGATGTTGCTAATTTCTCTCTAAAGCTGTTCACACTGCCATCAGCTTATTTGACTTAAATGGGTGTAACCAAACTTCATTGGTTTTTCCCAAATCGTAACTTAACAGCATACTGTTTAGTCCCCAGTCAGTATTTATTTATTTTATGTTTGTGCATTTTTAAATAAACCCAGTCTATAAATTTCTAATGTGCATTGGTGTTTATGTTACGCAAAGGTGAATCAGAGAGTTGAGATGCACGTCTGAGTGTGTCAAAAAGTACACATAGCAACTGATAAACACAATCAGGCAACAAAGTCATATGGCTGCATCATTATTTAATTGTCTTGATGCTGCTTTTGCATTTAAGCAAATCTCAAATCATTTAGAATAAGTTATTTTGAAACTCCTTGTGGTTTGAAATTTTTGACATATGAGCCACAATGCATTAACACATTCGTGGCATCAATGTGTATGCATGTGCACACACTTTATTTGTGCAGATTGTTGTTGTTTGATGCTGTGTGTTTTGTCTCAGAGGGTGTGAGTGCAGGGCTGTGGTGTGGCGAGGTGTTGTGGAGGCTCGGCAGGAGGCGAGAGGCAGCAGCTTGTTGGGAAAAGACCTGGACCTCTCCCATCAAATCCCCAACAGAGTGAGAATCCTTGGACTGAATGTGCTTTCTCTCTCTCTCTTGTTTATCTGATTCTATATGCAGTTTAACACACACAAAGTTAAAAATGTTTGCTTTTGTTGTTGGAATTCAAATAGAAACTTCCTGGTCACATTTAGAAATCTAAATATGATCAGGAAGTTTATTTGAAATTTACATTTGAAGTGGATCTGCATATGCTTTCTGATGCTACAATTAGAAAATTATAATTCGTGATAATTTAATATGAGTTTGAAGCTGTAAGCATAAGAATCTAGGAAATTAATCACTTTATTGGAATTTACTCCCAATGGTGTTTTTGTCTTTATGTTTTCAGGACTCTTCCTGTGTATGTCCAAGAACCTCAGACTGGCCCTTTGTTGGATTCCACAGAACTGCAAAACAGAATACATGAACTTCATCCTGTTTAGTCAGCTCAGAGACAGAAGGAGTATGCTCCATTATGCAAATATACACATTTTTTCTGTGCATTTTTGTTGTCAGTAAAATAAAGAAACACATGGGTGAGGTAGTAAACCTGACAGGTGGTTGAGCTGTGATCTAAAATTAATGCTAAGAATGAGTGAAATTATTGTCTGCCTTGACTCGGATGGAAACTAATTTCGAGTGATGCTGTTTACTACAGGAATATAACCCTACAGGATATATGTCATCTTAAAAAGGAAAATTTTGTGTGTATGTGTGTGTGTGTATATATATATATATATATATATATATATATATATATATATATATATATATATATATATATATATATATATATATATATATATATAGTAGTAGACATCTAGAGGACGTTCGTAAACGTCAACGCGGTGCGCATTAACTGGATGTTTGGGGTTTGTTACGAGCCAATCAGAGAGCAGTTGACGACCTCCTCTCTCTCCTGTAACTGGCCAAACTTCATTATTACCCATGGTGACGGAAGAGACAGCGTTTCTGATTGGCTGTATAGCTTGACGGACTGTCTGAAGCCAATCAGAATACAAGAGGCTTGTAGCTCACCGTATAAGCGTAAAGAAGAAGAAGAAAGTGCTGCTCTTGTGTGATATCGCTGGGAACGTTCAGTAACGCTAACCGGTTAATCTTCAACATTAGCTGAAATATCTTTATTTATTATTAGGAATCCAGGTGGACCACAATGGCTTCGGGAGGGGAGTAAGTAGAAAAATATTTTAGTAGTAGAATGTTTAATTTTGGGACAGTGGCTATGAAAGATTGTGTTCATCGATAGCTCGTTGTGCATTAGTTTGAGTTGGCTAGGATGCTAACGGGGTCAGCTACTTCAACTTCGCACTTTTGTTCAGAGGATTAATGGCTACTAAAAATGTCATTTTAACCTCATGAAATGTTATTTAACCACACCGCTGTCTTCGCCCCAGTGACGGTATTGTGTTACTGACTTCACAAAGCACAGTCATCGCTGTCGTGCTTGAATGCTAACATTAGCTTAGCAACACTATCAAGGCCAAAGCCACCCCCGTGAAACTGGCCTATCCACCATTTATTAGCACGTCTTTGGAACTGGCGTGGAACTTTAAAAGCCACACAATTAAACACCGATATGATATATCTGAAATAACATTTTCTCGTAAGAATTTTTTTTTACTGTGTCCGGTGACTCGTGGCGAACTGTCTAGTCTTTCTAGCAGTACACCAAAGCAGGCTAATAGCGTTGATACAGCACTTTAAATGATTGACAATTTACCATAGCATTCTTCTTTCTTAGATTATAAATCTTAATTTAATTTACGTGCTCCTAAATATGAGCTGAAGTTACATTGACGTTTGACAAGCCACGATTGAAATGTGAGGTTTATCCTTAGAAGAAGGACCTTGCTAGCCAACAAAGTTTTTTTCCCCGGATTCTTTTGCTGTGTCATCTGGGCTTCTTTGCTCGCCAACCGTCTAGCTCCAGGCTAACATTAGCATGTTTCAGCGTGAAAAATAAACCACTTAGCTCGGGAATTTTCTCAAAACTTGTTGTCGTTTTTAACTTAACTCATTACTTGCTGCTGTTATTTATGAGTTTGTGCCAATTTCCTCTTCTTAAACGTTAGGTGATCGGCCGTTGTGTAGACGACCTGTTCACACGTATCAGTACAACGTATGATGATGCTTTACCATATGATCACTACTTTAACGAAAATGAAATATTAATAATTTATATTGCGCAGTTACAAACTCCTTAAGGGTAAGCCTGTACTCAACAAATATTTCATTTATTTTATAAATCAAAATTTGTACAGATGGTGACAAAAAGCACAGTTATCTTGAAGGGAAGTGTCAATAATTTTAGTCTATATTTTTTGTTTTGGACCAATACTGTTGGTCTAACGAGCAAATTAAGAGAAACAAAGTGTAACCAATGCGGAGAATTAAATAGTGGTGGTTGTAAAAAAACAAATAAATAAATAAAAATTACATGGTAGCGCCAAATATAATGTGTATATATATATTACTACTACATTCTCTCAATAGGTACATTTTTTTGTTGTAGATGGCACAAAAGTATATTACAAAGGTCTATTTAAAAATTTTCTGTAACATTGTGTGTTTCTGTCTCATCATAGATCCAAAAATGATGATCTAGCAACTGCAATTCTTAAACAGAAGAGCAGACCCAACAGACTGATTGTTGATGAATCCATTAATGAAGACAACAGTGTGGTCTCTCTTTCTCAGGTTAGTTTATAAACTCTTGTCTATGGCTGTACTAGCATTTTCTAAACAATGATTTATTGGATGTAAAAATGAAATGTAGACCTTGAGAATTTAATCTGTAAAATTTCTTGATGTGTTTTAAGGCCAAGATGGACGAGCTGCAGCTCTTTCGTGGAGACACGGTGCTAATGAAAGGGAAAAAGAGACGAGAGACTGTGTGCATTGTGCTTTCTGACGACTCCTGTTCTGATGAAAAGGTTCGCATGAACAGGGTTGTTCGGAACAATCTGAGAGTTCGTCTAGGTGATGTCATCAGGTGGGGGAGGCACTTTATCTTGCTTTGTTTTACAAAAACTTTTAAATACTGAACAGCATTAACTGTAACATTTCCTTCAGCATTCAGCCTTGCCCTGATGTGAAGTATGGAAAGAGGATTCATGTTCTCCCAATAGATGACACGGTAGAAGGAATCACAGGCAACCTGTTTGAGGTCTACCTGAAGCCATACTTCTTGGAGGCTTACAGACCAATCCGCAAAGGTACGTTACGCTATCCTCATCCAGGACAAATAATTAATTGTGTTACTTTAATTATGCACCGGTATAGGCCAGAGCGTAATTTTAAAGTGGTAACTGTGTTCTTTTGGCTTCTGAAGGGGATATTTTCCTGGTTAGAGGAGGCATGCGTGCTGTGGAGTTCAAAGTGGTAGAGACCGATCCGTCCCCTTACTGCATCGTTGCTCCTGACACAGTCATTCACTGTGAGGGTGAGCCAATCAGGAGAGAGGTAGGCCTCATGTTCACCTATAATGTCATATGTTTTCTTTAACCCAAGAAGAGGTAAAAATTTAAACGTATCGTGTTTGGACATAAAGGATGAGGAAGAGTCCCTGAATGAGGTGGGCTACGATGACATCGGAGGAGTCAGGAAGCAGTTGGCTCAGATCAAAGAGATGGTGGAGTTGCCGCTTAGACACCCTGCACTGTTTAAGGCCATCGGAGTCAAGGTGAGACATTTAATGTCTCATTTTGTAAGTGGCTTTGTACAAATGTGTCTGCCAAATACATGGACATGATGTCTGCATTCTATTTGACTTCCATTGTACTATTTAGATTTGTAAAATAATAGTTATACTATTTAGTTCACTAATGAAAACTTTAATTCTTCAACCCTTATGTAATTAATGTAATTTATTGTATACATTTTCAAAAGCTTAACTGGCACAAAACAAATTTATGGTTAATTTTGATTTTTAGTTTTGAGTTATTATTTTAAAAGATGTTTAAAATTTCAGAGAAACATAATAAGGATTTTAGAAAAGGTATTTTTAAAACAAATCTCTTCCTTTCTCCAGCCCCCGCGTGGTATTCTTCTATATGGACCCCCTGGAACCGGAAAAACTTTGATTGCCAGGGCTGTGGCCAATGAAACAGGAGCTTTCTTCTTTCTAATTAATGGTGTGATCAAAGATTATTATTATTATTAATTTGCAGAAATCTGCTTGTTTTGGTGCTACTGTCATATAATGTTCATTCCATCTGAACTCTAAATGTTTATCTGTGTTCCAGGCCCTGAGATCATGAGCAAGCTGGCTGGAGAGAGTGAAAGTAATTTAAGAAAGGCCTTTGAGGAAGCTGAGAAGAATGCCCCTGCCATCATCTTTATCGATGAACTTGATGCAATCGCTCCAAAGAGGGAGAAGGTGAGCACAAAAGTGTTGGCAGAATAGATAGATGGAAGGTTTAGCCTTTTTCTGGTTTAGATTTTCCATAGTAATAAAGAAAAAAAGATCGTGTTAAAATTTTTGCTTTCCAGTGGTTATCCTTTTCTGTGTGTTGACACTTTCAAATATTTAATAGTTGGCTGCTACATTTATGTACTTGAGTTCGATCAGGATAATAGTTTAGATGAAATAAAACTAATGAATTATTGAAACGATGTGCTTTGTGTTTTCCAGACTCATGGAGAGGTGGAGAGGCGCATCGTGTCTCAACTGCTGACTCTCATGGACGGCCTGAAACAGAGAGCTCATGTGATCGTCATGGCTGCTACCAACAGACCCAACAGCATTGATCCAGCTCTCAGAAGATTTGGTAATTTTATTTACGCTTCTAAATGTTTGATTTGTGTCTCTAAATATAGTTTGTTTCAAAGGGGGTTTATATTGTTTTTTTCTTAATAGGGATGCCAAACAGATATTTTGGAATTTTATCTATTCAAATGTTACAAAGAAAATGTGGAATTATGACAATAAATGAATAAAATTTAAAGCATTAGTTTAAATGGTTTTGACGGTATAAATGTGCATTTTTAAGACACTTAAATCATTACTGGACACATTTTCTTCTACATAGCTTTTTCTTTCACCTCTGGGCTGTGCTTGTTTTTGTTGGTTCTACAGTTCATGCCTGCTGGGTTGGTGACACCATCTCTGCCGTTCTACGTTTTTGAGATATGACTGATTGTTTCTGACAGGTCCACAGTGTGCCAGAAATGAATTTTGGCTAGTCAAATAAAAACTCTCTCAAATAGTGCCGTGTGTATAGTATAGTTGTACATTTTTTGCAGCATCATTAGAGCATTTCTGATGTAAATATTAGTTACTCTTGCTGTTACTCTGTAATTCATTTTTATGCGTATGATTTGAATGAACCTTCTCCGTTTCTAGGGCGTTTTGACAGAGAGGTCGACATTGGCATCCCTGATGCAACTGGCAGGTTGGAGATCCTGCAGATTCACACCAAGAATATGAAACTGGCTGAAGATGTCGACTTGGAACTGGTTTGTGCATATAGATTTATTTATTTATTTATTTTTTCTGCAGTTCTGGATTTTTATTTTTTTGTCCTAAAGTGTTGTATTGTGCTTGGAAACATCCATGTGCACTCTTAACTGTTGATACTTCATGTTTACTTCTTTGCATTTTAGGTAGCCAATGAGACCCACGGTCATGTGGGAGCAGATCTGGCTGCTCTCTGCTCCGAGGCTGCTCTGCAGGCAATTAGGAAGAAGATGGACCTGATCGACCTGGAGGATGAGACTATTGATGCTGAAGTCATGAACTCTCTTGCTGTTACCATGGATGACTTCAAGGTAAATTTGTAATGAAACATTAAAAATGGAATTAGAATAGAATGGCTTTACAGTTAAAAATGCCTTTGAGTCAGTTTTAATTCAGTGTAAAGTTAAAGTTCCATTAGTTGTCACACACACTGATGTGTGTGCGAAATTTGTTCTCCGCATTTGACCCATCCCCTGGGGGAGCGGTGAGCTGCAGACACAGCCGCGCTCGGGAACCATTTGGTGGTTTAACCCCCCAATCCCACCCCGTAATGCTGAGTGTCAAGCAGGGAGGCATTGGGTCCCATTTTTTCAAAGTCTTTGGTATGACCCGACCAGGAATCGAACCCTGATCTCCCAGTCTCAGGGCGGACACTCTACCACTAGGCCACTGAGCTGGTGTATTCTGTGTTGCAGTGGGCTCTAAGTCAGAGCAATCCATCTGCTCTGAGGGAGACGGTTGTTGAGGTTCCCAACATCACCTGGGATGATATTGGAGGTCTGGAGGATGTCAAGAGGGAGCTTCAGGAGTTGGTGCAGGTATGAGTGAGATTGAGAGATTTTTTAGAAATGTTGATGTTATACGTTTTAACAGGTGTAGTTATGTCTAATTTTACCTAATTTAGTACCCCGTGGAGCATCCAGACAAGTTCCTCAAGTTTGGCATGACCCCATCCAAGGGTGTGCTGTTCTATGGTCCCCCTGGTTGTGGTAAAACTCTGCTGGCCAAAGCTATTGCCAATGAGTGCCAGGCAAACTTCATCTCTATCAAAGGACCAGAGCTGCTCACCATGTGGTTCGGAGAATCGGAGGCCAACGTCAGAGAGATCTTTGACAAGGTAAGCGTGTCGTTCAGGATTAATACTTAAAGGTATAGCGGAGGATCTTGTTCTTCTGGTTCTTGATCCGCATAACCGGCAATCATTCTGGTGAAGCTTTCACGCAAGGCTGTCGTCATACATGCTTGTTCCTGGGCTAGTTGTCACTTCCCGCTTATTCTGTTTATGTGTAGAGCGATACATCTTCATCCCTCGCCGTTCTCACTGGGTTCTTTAGAAAATGGCCGAGAGTCTCAAAAGAAAAACCGTTCAAAATCTATGATAAGAAGAGAAAGGCCTCCAAAGTGGGAAATAAGACTATTTAGGAGGCTCTTTTCGACGATGGCGTGCGCTAAGGGCGATTGTTAGGCTCCCCACAGATGCCTCTGTTGCCGGTTTTCTGTTAGACAGTTAAGCTAAAGTTCGGCGTGCTATTTGGAGAAATTCATTTGGGATTACTGCGAGAAGTAGTGCTGCAAGGCCTGCAGTTACTTGTAAACAGCGTGCACGTAGATAACTGAGCGTTCTCTCTCGTGCATTTTTTCAAAACATGGAGAGGGCGGCTATCTCCTGAAATTCCGAAAAATCCTCTGCCGTACCTTTTTAAATCAACTCCCGATTTTTAACATTCCTTTCTGTTGCTTGCGTCTTCAGGCTCGTCAGGCTGCCCCATGTGTTCTGTTCTTTGATGAGCTGGACTCCATAGCCAAGGCTCGTGGCGGTAACGTGGGAGATGGTGGTGGAGCTGCTGACCGTGTCATCAACCAGATTCTGACTGAGATGGATGGGATGTCCAGCAAGAAGAATGTGTTCATCATTGGAGCCACAAACAGACCAGACATCATTGACCCTGCCATCCTAAGACCCGGCCGTCTCGATCAGCTCATCTACATCCCCCTGCCTGACGAAAAGAGCAGGATCAGCATCCTGAAGGCCAATCTCCGCAAGAGTCCCATCAGCAAGGTGCTTCTAATAATTATTCACTATGTGCAGCTGTGTTATAAAGTTATTTTTTTTTCCTGTGTTGAATGATTTTAAAGTGGGCAACCATCAGCTTACATAGACATGGAGAAGTTCCAAATTTAGTTTATGAGCGATTTTAGAAAAGATGAAGAACAATCTAATCTGATGCAATTCCATAAACTTTTTTCCCTCTTAAAAGGACGTGGACCTGGACTTCCTGGCTAAGATGACCAATGGCTTCTCGGGAGCTGATCTCACAGAGATCTGCCAGCGGGCGTGTAAACTTGCCATCAGAGAGAGCATTGAGAACGAGATTCGCAGAGAGAGGGAGAGGCAGACAAACCCATCAGCTATGGTCAGTAGTCGCTTTCTCTCCTCTTTAATCCTTTCACATCCGGTCACTCGTAGCTGTAAGTGTCATGCTTTAATTTTACTCCCTTTGTAGGAGGTGGAGGAGGACGATCCTGTTCCAGAGATCAGAAAGGACCACTTTGAAGAAGCAATGCGATTTGCTCGCCGTTCTGTCAGCGATAATGATATTCGCAAATATGAGATGTTTGCTCAGACACTGCAGCAGAGCCGTGGCTTCGGCAGCTTCAGGTACATTTTAACACTGTTGATGAATCCCATGTTCCTGGTTAGCTGTTTTTCTGTGACATTAAAATGTAAAAATTAAACTGAAAGCAGGTTTTTAAATGCTTGGTTATTGGGCTCCTTGGGTAAAACCACAAAAACAAGTGACTGTTCTGCCTTCCAGGTTTCCCTCCAGCGCTGCAGGTGGAAGTGGTCCAAGTCATGGCTCAGGGGGAACTGGCAGTGGTCAGGTGTTCAGTGAAGATAACGATGATGATCTTTATGGATAAAAGTACACTGCCCCACAGTGGTCAGTCCTGGGATCACACTTGTACAAATTCTCACCCGATTCCACATTTTTAGGACTTTGTGCTTCTTTCATGTGTTTCTTTTCTTTTTTTTTTTTTTTTTTTTTTTTTTTTTTGTATAATTTCCCCTTGGAGAAAGCATGTTGCCACTTGGTTTGCCCTGACTTTCATGTGGGTGGGGAAATGGAAGATGAGTGAGAATTTTCCTAGAGACCGATGGGGGAATGGGGGTGGGCTGGTGTTTTGAGTGGCCTCAATCTCGTTATATCAAATTAAAAAAAACAAAAAAACAAAATGACTATAGTGATGAGGTGTAATGCTAGAGTCTGGGGATAAACATTGCTGATGACTTTCTTTTTTAAAAATAAACCGTAGCATATAACATATTAAAAATTTGTCAAGGTTATGTTGAAAATAAAATTTCACTGAATGGAGGCGGTAGCTTCTGTCTTTATTTAATCAGTGAAACAACAACAAAACAAGTTGATTAAGGTATAAAACGTGGATCAATACAAACAGGCAATTGTGACAAAGCTATCCGAATGATTGAATCTAAACTCTAATAACATCTACCATTTTTTTGGGGGGGGGGACATTTAAGAAAATGCAGATCAGAAAAATCTTAATCTCATGTGGCTGAGAGGCGTTTCAGCTGTGGACTACAGAGGTTAACAGAAAATGGATTTTGGTTCTTAGTTTTAGTAAGTAGTCATTTTAACAAATGTAGCCAAAGAAGTGGAACATTTCTGATCTTATTCCAGTCTGCTTATTTTCCTCAATTTGTATTCAACGTAGACTCAGTAAGGATCATTAAAGGGGAAATGAGGATGGTGTGCGTCTCGAAACACTTTCTTGCCATCTTTCTGTTGAAGAAAAAAAAATACATGTAATTAAAAGTGAATCAGAGAAATGTTGTTAAACACTTTTTCTCTGAACCATTTTTGAGCAGAGCACTAATGTTTTAGACAGAGTTTACAAAGGCAGTGAAAGACTGAGGTAGTATACAAGGCTCGAGCATATCACCTCACCTCGGTTGTTGGGACAACAAAGCGCATGTTGCGGTTTAAGGAGTCGATCAGCGCCATGTCCACTTGTGACAGGGAAAAGTCGAACACGGCCAGATTCTCCTGGATCCTGGATGGCGTCACACTTTTGGGAATACATGCTACACCCCTCTGAATGTTCCACCTGCAGGGGTCAGGTAATGGTGCTTTATAATTACAGAAAGTGGCAAGGTGGAGGAATGAGGGCACGGGTGGGATTTGATCCCCAGATACCCGTGTGAGCGTCATGCGTGCTAACTGATCGTGCTAACCAGTCAGCCAAAGGGACATCCCCTTGGCCAAGTAGCCAGGGCGCATGATCAATCAGGACACCGTGACAGGACGCTCACACTCACAAGAAGTTAGCTTCATAACTGAGTCACTGACATTTCCTGTCTTACCTGAGTATCACCTGAGCTGGAGATTTCTGGTATTTCTGGGCGATGTCTCCCAGATGGGGATCCTGGAGCAGACAAGGTTCATCGGCAGTGGCCCAGGGTCTGTCTCTGCTCCCCAGAGGACTGTAAGCAGTCACACAGATTGCCTTCGATCTGGGTGTGAGCATGGTTAGAGATGCAATGAGTTATTTTAATTACTCTTCTCTCAAATATGAGTATTATGAGTGTTTTACTTAGACATGAGACTGACCGACAATGTGCCAGGAGGTCTGTCTGAGACAGGTATGGGTGGCATTCCACCTGTGATCAATTGCACCAGATCAGTTGACACTTCCTGTTTTTCTTTTTCCTCCCAATATTATTAATTACTTATTAGGAGGTGTATTTGTACCTGGTTCACTACAGGTGTGTGTCTGGCTGTGCTGATGATGTCATCGATCTGCCTGGCATTGAAATTGGACAGTCCTATGGCCTTGACCAGGCCTTTATCTACAAGCTTCTCCATAGCTGTCCAGGTATCTCTGTAGTGTGTGTCAGAGTAACAAATGCTTCCATCTTCTCGCCGAGGCATCAGCTCCGTCCCCCGCCTGAAACACACACAGTCCTCAGCTTCACGCTCGGTTCTAGGTCACACAAGAGACTTGGTTTGTAACTCACTGAAAGGCAATGGGCCAGTGGATGAGGTACAGGTCCAGGTAGGAGAGACCCAGGTGGTCCAGACTGGTCCTGCATGCCTCTTCAACATCCTCTGGGTCATGCATGGTGTTCCAGAGTTTGGATGTGACAAAGACGTCATCACGCTGCAGAGCCTGAGGTTAGGGAACAAATTGTCCATCTTTCCTGACTGCAGCTGCCTTTTGGCATCAACCTTTTGATAATTTTAAGCACTTTCCTGCTACATTAACTGTGTATTAGACACATACTTGGTAATTGGAATGGATAAATGAGCAGCCTAGATCATCGTTTATTGTGTATTTTCTGTAGGATTTTATTTGATCCAGTTATTAATCTTAAAATTATGATGGCAGCTCGGTTCTGTTGCTCTGCACTGCTGCATAAGCAGTGTGAGGTGACTTTTTTCTCTCTCTCCTTGCACTGGCTGTCTGTCAGTGCCTCATGGAAGAGAATGTGGCCTCTTGTGCAAAATAGGGTTGCTGCGGTTCAATTCCGTGATATAAAATGCCCGATGGGAGGGAGAGAGGGTGTGCTGCGTCTCACTTATCGTTTTTCTCTCTTCGTGGGCTGTCTGTCTGTTGGTGCTCAGTTACCATCGCGACCAATTTGGTGCCACCCAAAAACTCCTCTTGCCCCCCCCATGAAATTTTTCTGGGAACGCCACTGGCTAAAAGTTCTAAAAACCTGTCAAAATGAACCTTAATTAGTAGGGACGGGGAACAATATCAGTGCTGATATCTAAATCACACACGGAGCATAAAGTAGTTTCTAACCTTTCCTGGTCCGACCCACTGAGCCAGAGCTTCTCCAACCTCCTGTTCATTTCCATAAGCAGCAGCACAGTCGATGTGTCTGTATCCGCACTCTAGAGCCGCCAGCACTGCCTGTTTCACCTGGAAATCAATTGCTCATTATTAATCTGCATTAAAACATGACAGCTTGATCTAAACCTGTGTGTGTGTGTGTGTGTGTGTCTACCTGTCCTGGAGAACTCTTCCATGTACCAAGTCCAATGATAGGCATTCTCTGCCTTGATGAGAGAGTCACAAACTTGCTCATGTTTCAACTCAGATGACCTAACAGATGAAAGACAAAAACCTGTGTGGGGTCTCCCTTTGTGATGGACACAGTCGACATCCAGTCATCATAACTAAGTGCTTAGGCTTTAAGAATCTGAACTCATTAGCTGCCTTGCAGCTGGGATCGTGTATTTTTCTGATTATTTTATGCTTGAAGAAGCCAGTAGCAGAACAAAAGTCATTATGCAGGAAAATTAAGAGTTGGGTGATCCACTTGCTGTAAGTTGTTTTCAAAGCCTCAAAGCAGAACTGTTAAGCTGATAAATACACCCTGAGTTAACCCAGCCACACTGCTGGAAAGGGCTGATACAGCTTTACGACATTAGTCACACAGAAGAGTGTAGCTGGAGTCAATACATCCTCATCATTGGATCATAAAAAGAGTTAATGATGATCAGAGTTTACTGAGACAAGAGTTCTGACCTGATCTCACCTTCCGACCCAACCGCAGACCAGAACCTGCAAAAGAAATCTTCAAACGCCGCCGCAGACCAGAACCTGCAAAAGAAATCTTCAAACGCCGCCTAGAAGAGATGTTTCTCAGTCGATGGTCCTGTTTCTACCTAGCAAAGAGTTTGATGTATTCACCTCAGGTCTGTGTGTCCAGCTGAACATTAACAAGCTGAGGCCAAAGTCTGTGTTTATCTGTAACTCAATGATGGAAAATGTCGTTCTTTTTGTGTTTTGTCTCCCATGATGAGAAGTAAAGATGTTTTCTCAGCTTTGTTTGCTGTTCTGATAGCATTTTACGCTCCTTGCACAACTGAGTTTTACTTGTTTTTACAATTTACAAGCAAAACTGCTTAGTATCCCTTTAAAGGAGATGTACAGTTGGATGTCATCTGCATAAAGATGGTGTGAGATTCCTTTAAAAGACCTCAACATGTACTGGAGAAGGAGCAGATAAAGGAGGAACAGTAGAGACCCCAGCTCAGAACCTTGTGGGACACCATGGGTGAGGGAGGTGAAGAATGACCGAAACTTGGATATGGCTACAGAGAAGGAACGCTCAAATAAGTGGAGAACCACTTCAGAGCAGTTCCTGATAGGCATACCCAGTAGCAGGTGATGATCAACAGTGTCAAAACCTGCAGTCAGATCCAGCAGAACCAGAACAGTCCCCTGCATCACTGAGCCAGAAGGTCATTAGACCCTAAGAAGAGTGGTTTCAGTAGAATGAGCTCTGCAGAAACCTGACTGGCTATAGAGACAGGAGGGAGGATTGGAAATCAAGCAGAGCTATGCAGCAAATAACCACGTGCTGCAAGTCAAACCTGGACCTGCAGTAATTAAAGCTTTCAGCCTCTTCATTTGGGTCACCAGCTCAGTTGAGATACCCTTAACTCCCTCAGATGCTTCTCATAATCTTTACAAATGCTTAATAAAAACTACTTTAGTAAAGTTGAAATTTAGATTTTAAATGTATAAAAATTTAAAATATAATAAATTAGTGCTTTCTGCAGTATCCTCAACATAATTGAATTGAAAGGGGTAGAAAAAATAATTCAAATCCACCTCCTGATAATTACAGAAACCTGATTCTAGCCCACTAAAATCATTATTTTGATGAGTATAACTGATAAAGAACAAAATCAAGAGACACAAACTTAATTTCACACGTTTGGTTTATTTGTCTCATTATTAAAAGTTCATAAACACTGTCTTAAAATGCAGATGAGCAGTGACAGCGAGTCTTTCAGCAGCAGCACTTGTGCACTCTGGTTGCAGCCACGCTTTAGTGTCCTCTGAGTCAGGACAGAACAATCACACTCAGACAAACCCACGTTCACGTCTCTCCCATCATCTCGGTGTTTTGTCAGCATCTTTACAACCTAAAAGTGTATTTATAATTAATCTAAATCGTTGTGAAAAATAAAATACGCATACTGTATATGACCTACAAGAGTTTCCTGTGTAACCCATGCTCGTACATACTTTTTACTGTTTCTCATCTGATTGATACACGTTGAATGTACAGATGTTACAGAAGCTGATATGAATCACAAAGATGAAACCAAAAAAACCCAGAAGCCTGTGTGGTTCATTTTTGGCACCGCTCACATTAGCACCAAGACATTGCTTTATAAAAAGCCACAAGAGAGAGAGGTACACAGCAAAGCAGGATCCATCAGAGTAAACCTCGACTATTAATTTTAAAAGGTAAAGCCATACTTGTTTCCCTCTGGGAAATTTAAATTGTACTTTTAAAACCTTTTACGTTGAAGAAAAACTGACAAAAACCCGATCCTGGCTTCCATTACAGTACGATATAAACTGTAAAACCATCAGTTCCAGCACAGGTCCTAGCTTGTTGTGCACTAAACATGGCTGTTTTTGTTTATAAGTTACAGTGTGACCTGTGTGATCAGGCTCTGGGCTAAGGCACCAATACGTCCCTTAGAAACTGAGCCGGGCTTTATCACTTATTAGCAGCCGAGCAGCTCAGAAGGGAAAAGCACCCATTGTTAGAGACAGATTGTGATGGCTGCTGTTACAGTGTGTGATTGTCATTCCCAGATTATTCGTTTCAGCAGAGGTAAGATAAAAGAAACTGTGATGCAATGTAGAACTTTAAGTGTGAACTCTTTTTGGGGAAAGAACTTGCAGACTTCAAGCATTATGTTCTAAAGGGCAGGAAACATGGAAACTCCCAATGTAATAATAATAATAATAATAAAACAAAATCTTTTTGAAGATTTTTGGAAAGGAAAACATCGCTTTTAGGAAAATACCTCAACCTTTCACAAAAAGACGAGGATCAGAGCTGGACAGCTTATAAAACCTTTGACAAATCTGTAGAAAACAGGTAAGAAAATAAGGTCCAGTTACAGCTGCAGTTGTGCTGAGCTCTGAATTTCTGATGTGTGTGTGTGTGTGTGTGTGCTTGGGTAAAAGGACAAAACAAATATGGATAAATGCAATCCTGATCCTGCCTGACCTGCTGGCATTCCTCATCCTCCTGTAGTAAAGTTCACACACACCATCTGCTCTGCATGCTCAGACACAGGACATGAGAAGGGCGACTGCAACAGCAGCATTGTGGGTAATGTTTTCTGTGATCGGTGTGTCGTTTTGCTGATAGGAAACCAGAAGTGTGTTCCTATGACTGAGGGAGGTGCTGTCTGATTATCTCTCTGGACTGAGGAGGGATCCTGTCAGGAAAACGGACAGAAAATTCCACGATGAGATCACCACGTTGAGACGGGTTCTTTGGGAAAGGCAGGCCTTCCCCTCTGAGCCGCTTCGCTGTCCCTGGCTTGATGATGTCATGACAGGGGAGAGAGATGACGTGGTTTTCCAGCGTGGGGATACTAACAGTGCAGCCGCACAGGGCCTGGAACAGAGAGAATAAATAGAAGGTTAATATCCCTGGAAAAACTATGAACTGCCAAAGCCATGACTTAATGTTTCCATGAGGTAAAAGCAGACTTTATTTTAACAACACGTCATCACGAGAAAACCTAAAACCTACTTCCTGTGTGGCATGTGTGTGTGTGTGTAACATGTGGAGGAAGAGTGTCCACCTTGACAAATCATTCAGCAGAGTGTAAAGAAAAAACTCAGCATTAGGAACATTAGGCAAGGGAACAGCTTTTAGGCCTGTGTGTGTGTGTGTGTGTGTGTGTGTGTGTGTAAGTGTGTCAGCATTGCACAGGAGGATAATTTTAGCAGCACTCTCATATCTCGGGCTAACGAAGTGCAGCAGGAATCGGCTGAGCTCGTAAATAGTTGGAGGGCTTGTCAGATCCTCACAGTTGTGCCTGCTTATGCGCGCGCACGCACACACACACGCACACACACACACACACACACACACACACACACACACACACACACACACACACACACACACACACACACACACACACACACACACACACACACACACACTTTTGTGTCCTCCTTATCAACATGCTGCATGAACCCAGTCAGACTGTAGAGACACGAGGCTTTATAGCTACACAGGCTTTCCACTGAGCATCATTTACCACATTTACACTACCTAGACACAACTATTAACCCCCCATCTGAGTGAATGAAACGTTTCAGTTTAGAAGAGCAAAATCAGCACAAATAATAAAACTCGCGTGCTAATAACACATTTGCCTCCATTTGAGACATTCAGAACAACACACGGACTCCAATGCACATGTTTACATGATTTCATGTTGTTATGGTTTGATTTGCTTCCATGATAATTAGTTAACATAAAGTAGAACTACTTCAGTTTTAATGGCGTCAGGTAAATGATTTTGATTTAATGATGTCACAGGATGAATTGAAATAACCTAATGAATTTTTAATATTAGGATTTAATGACGAGAATCTTCAGAGGATAATTGATTTTGAAAGTTTAAATTAATAAACTAAATTAAATCAGATATGTAATTCAGGAGTCAGAATATAAAAATGAAACAAAACGGACGATGACTTAAAATGTATTTAAATTTAGCTCAACAAAAATATTTAAAAAAACAACATTTTTATCTAAGAGTAATTAAATGAGTTTATACTACAACCACAAAAATGCTGATTATCAAGAAAAAGCTATTTTTTGGTTAACACTACAATACAATCTTGAGATTTTAAAGGGACTGTGTTTTAAAGTGATACAATTTTGACAAATTATGAGACGCCTGGATTATAACCCCAACATGGTCCACGATCCATCCCAGTAAGCCTGTTACAGAATAACACGTTAAACATTCATAACCAGTCAGAATCTTGCAGTGGGATCACAGCACCTTTGATCTCTTGGACCACACACCTGTGACAAGAACATCTCATTTCTCACACCCCTCTCTCAGATCGTATAGATGGGACTGAGCTCATCTTCAAACTCAGTTTTCACTAAGAGCTGTAAAGTTTACACTTTTGCAACGCAGCGGACAAGTTTAAAACAGACCGCTACATAAACGTAGAAGTTTGGGTCTAACGGAGCAGCTGCTTCTGAGTTTTTTAGTCATGACATTAGGTGTCCATTCACACATGCGTTATGATTTCATCTGTCGCTGTGGCTCAGCCTCCTGCTATGATCGCTCCCATTGACAAGCACGGGTCTTACACACACAGACGGGTTACCATGACGCTCGACACACACTGCCAGCTGATCACTGATTACATAAGCCCCAGCTCAGACAACAACACCATAGAGACTGGCACAAACAAACAAACAAACACACTTTCTGCTTTGTTTGATGGCCAAATTTTAAAGGCAAATGTAATTTTTTCCATACGTAAACCTAGAAATGATGTTTAGGTTTTGCTTTATAATTCAAATTCTAACAGGACATGGCTGAAACACAATAGCTGTTAAAAATGCATCTCATCGTCAGTTCCCTTCCTTCACTTTGGCTTTAGAGCCCAACAGCAGCACATTCTTATGTTTGAATTGGGTTTTGCTGAACTGAGTACAGTGCTGAAGAACACTAGCATCAGATGGTAGAGGCGCACTGTAGGGCTGTCATTATTACCATGTTGCAAAAGATTCAAATTCAAGCAACAGTCTTTGCAGTCATCTCTTTTTTTGGCATCGCTGTGAAGACACCCGAGGGCTGAAGATAGTCTCTCAGGATTGTAGTCAGACAAGGTTGGCAGCACAAAACGCAGACTGTTCATTGGGGCATGCTTCCAGCAAAAAAAAAAAAAAAAAAAAAGCAACCAAATAGCCAAAAGTGACAGATTAATCTCCCAAACAATGATTTATCATGTAAACTTCCGTTTGTAAGTAGCTACAACCTATTAGTGAGGCAGTGTTGTCTGAAGATGTGAACCATGTGGTCCAGGATGTGGAGGTGATGTGTAATCCATAACCTGCCCTGTGCTTTTACTGCAGTATTTAGTTATCTTCTGAGAAAGCAGAGCCGAAAGGAGTGCTAGAAAATGAGCTCTTATTTGCTTTGGAAACGAAATCATCTGACCCACTTCCCTAATATTCCCCAGACGCATTCCCCATCCTCCACTCCAACCTCGCCTTCCCTTCTCTGCCCCAGCTCATGTTTAGCTCCATCAGACTCTTATCTGGCAGCGGTGAGACGAGAAGGCTTTAGCTGTGTGGGAGTTCTGCAGTGAAAATGTAATCACCGTGCAGGTTTGATTAAGTGCCATCTCCTGCTTGACGTGACTCAACAAACTCCAGTACCATCAAGTCTACACGGTGCAAAGCCAACGGCGTTCTTTTTGGTGCATCGCTTATGTGATGATTTGCAGCGGAGCTCTCAGGTGAAAGCCCGTCAAAAGGAGAACAAAAGAGCTCCACTGGAAAGTCTGACACTCCCGAGAACACCTGCCATTATCCGGACCATGTGAACTGCAGTGGAAACATTATTAGAAGCATTAAAGCTGCGGCGCACCCGTTGCCCCCGCTGTGTAGGAGCAGCCAATTAAAAAGCCCGACAGTCACAGTTATAGCATCCTTGCTCCATCACAATCCATCTTTGGCTGAATTTATTTGCAAAGACGCTTGAAGATGCAGATGAGGTTGCATGCAAGCGTTTGTGTGATGTATTGGGTGTTTATATGATTTCATGCAGATGCGCAGAAACAAGTGAGGGGGTGGTTTCATGGCTGTCACACAAGGACACCACATTCCTGCTGCTTCTCTCACATCACAGCCACAGAATTGCTGCTTCTACTGATCCTGCTCTCCAGCAACAACCACACAGACACAAACTCATAACATCCCTCCCAGACTTATTCAATTACAGTCACATGTCTCTGCTTTCATCTAAAGGTCTCCAGCCCCACAAATGCGATTCATTTCTGTTTGGCTGTCCTTTCTGGAAATCAGTGGGAATTAGTAGATTAAACTACAACTCAAAGAAGTGCAAATAAAATGTAAAATGGAAAACAGATTCACCTCTTTCAGATTAATGTTGCAGTTATAAATGATATTGGAACCGTCTCTCCTGAAGTGGGCATGCCCTTTGTCTTTAAGGACGAAGACTATATCAGCAGGAATGTTCTCAGGGGTCTCATCCCCCTCCTTTGGGAAAGTTATCTTGGTGCCCTCCTTCCAACCCTTCTTGATGACAATGTTGAGAATCTTGTCCTCTGTCCTCATGCTCCGTCCGTCAGGGTTCAGCCTGCGGCGGGTGATCTTCATGCGCTTGGTGCAGCCATGGAAGATCTCTTCCAGCGAGACCTTCAGCTCGTGGACCACTGGAGCATCCTGCTGCTTACGGCTGGTCCCCAAACGCTCCGATGGAGCGCCTCTCCGCCTGCGGCCCTCAGCTGGAAAACCATTGTTCAATCCACCAGGAAAACCGAACTGCCTTCCAAAATGAGCAAAAGGATCATCCTCGTCCATTTCTGTGTCCTGCTCTGTTCCGTTGCTGTGGTCGTTATGGAAGGAGAAACCATTGGAGCGGCTGTGGCTGCGGTTGGAGCCAAAAAACATGTCAAAGGGGTTGGAGCCGCCAAAGAAAGATGCAAAGGTAGCGTGGGGGTCCCCGTGGAAAGTGTAGTGGTAAGTTGAGCTGCCAGGAGCACCGGACGAGCTGCTGCTTCCTGTCTTCAAACCTGAAAAAGCAAACAGGGATGAGAACCTGGATATGTCCAAACACTCACCAAACTCAACCACCACGCAGGATGCTGTTAAAAACTCTAAAACAAAGAGGAGGTAATGTCAGATAGAAGAGTGGAGCTCATGTGGGAGAGAAAAATCCCACAGCATCACTGATCTTCCAACAGAGCTGCTAGTGGAGGTCACTCCATCACAGCAACACACACACGCACACAGACACACACACACACACACACACACACACACACACACACACACACACACACACATGCAAACTACAGCAGTCACGATGATCTTGAGCCATCTGTCTGACAGCCAACAGCCACACACACACTACACTTGTAGTTAAGGTGGACTTTAAGGTATTAGACAAACTCCCCAGAACACAAACACTCAAAACATCAGAATTATTACTTCAGTGGTCAAAACCCACCACTGTAATATTGGAACTGTTGCTAAGCTAGCAAAGCATTCTATAAAAAGCTTCATGAACAGAACCCTGAACTTGCTCCCATTTATCAGGATCAGACCTATAGAGCCCCCATGTCCTCCTCTTCCTCACCTTCCTCTCCCAGCTGATCGTAGATGACCCTTTTCTTGGGATCGCTGAGGACCTCATACGCCTCTGCGATTTCCTTGAACTTCTCCTCTGCGTTGGCATCCTTGTTCTTGTCAGGGTGAAAGCGGAGCGCCATGCGTCGGTAGGCCTTCTTGATCTCATCCTCGTTGGATCCCTTGGAGATTCCCAAGGTCTTGTAGTAGTCCTTCCCCATATCCCTGCTGTCTCAGGACTCAGTGGTCCTTCTTCACCTCAGGCTGCGTCCAGTCACTGGTGGGACACAAGACAACCATGAGTCTCCTCTGGGACAGATTATCCGCAGACCAACACACAATTTTATTTATTTATTTATTTATATTTGTTTATTTATTTATTTATGTATGTATGTATGTATGTATTTATTCAACCTTTGTTTTACCAGGTAAAATGTTTGAGAATATGTTCTCATTTACACACATGACCTGGCCAAGATATCTATCTATCTATCTATCTATCTATATATATATATATATATATATATATATATATATATATATATATATATATATATATATATATATATATATATATATATATATATATATATATATAGCCTACTTGGAAAATCTCCTTTGGGATTTTGTGTTTTCTAACAGTGATATGTTGGGAACACAGAGTGCTGCTTTGTCTAGCTGTTGCCATGGTGATGTGATTTCTGTGCTGATGTGTCCTGAGATGCTGAGATGGAGTGCAGAGGAATCCCCAACATCTGCTTTGCCTTGGTGCTGCCTGGTCATTCATTCCTCTATTAGTCCTGAACTGGGTTTTGGTTGCAGCTCATGCTGATGGAGGGTCTGCACCTCTATGCTGTGCTTCACCACCAGCTGGGCACAGACCCACAGAGGAGAAACCTTCTCACACTGCGGTGTCCTATGAGCAGCACACAATCTTCTCTCGTAAATATGCTCATTCATCTATATTATTGCTCAGCGCCCATTTGCGGCCAAATCACACATACTACTGTAGCAGAATGGGTTAATACAGCATGCATTCCCCGGGAATGATTCCCGACCCTGGACCCTGATGATTCCAACCAGGGGATTTCCCGATTTATCAGAAAAAAGAGAATAAATTAATCAAATAAATGAAGCCTACCAGAATGCGCTCTAAACGAGAAATCAGATCATCCTCATCTGCTTCTCCAGCGTTTCCTTTCCTCTGTTCCTGTGCCTCTCTTCCCTCCAGCCCTGCTGTCTGCCAGCCGCTCTGCCGCTGATGCTCCCTTAAAAACTGACGTCAGGAAGCCGAACCGGCGGGATCACATGCAGGCTCGGAAATAACCGGTGAGCAAACGCTCAAGTCCGACTTACGTTTCACCGGAAAGCCTCGGACGAATGTCCTTACAGCCAGACCCCCCGCCCCACCAGATCTGTAGCACTGATGTGAAAGTAGGCTCCTCCACCAGTTCAAGGAAATGATCAGAACATAACATGCAGCCATCGTTGATGAGAAAGTGACTGATACTTTCTGAGACGACATGTAAACTTTATATGCAACAAAAAAGAGAATTTCCTTACCGAGCCCACAGCTGTGTCCGGTGTTGGACCTCAGCCTGAAATCCAGACCAGACCTAGCCCCCTCAGCCAGGGGGACTCCTGCTGCAGGTCCACGATCTGCTCACGAGCTCCAGTGGACTTAAGTATCAGTGGGTGGGTTTAACTTCATGCTTCCCATGCAACTGGCTAGATAACCTGTGTTAAACAGAGACAGTCCCGTCTTTATAGTCTGAAATATTATTAATTTTATTACAATAAAAAATAAATAAAGTAGGTGTTCGTGATGGTCGTGCCTGCACCACTGAGTCATGTGATGACACACAAACCCTCATCTTCGTGAAGACAAAAATCACCGAATCACATCCAACATAACAAACCAACACAACAACACTCCCATTTTTTATAACTGTAAAGAGCTCTTTGAACAACCTCAACTGTGTTCAGTATAGATCAGTTCAATGAGAACGCTAAAGGTGGCTTATAAAGATGCTTTTATGATTCTTTTAATACTGTCAAGGTCTACCAGCCATATGTTTGCTGTTCGCCGTGTTTCTGGTTTTGAAGCTGCACGGAGAAATTTTATGTACAAATTTAGGCTGAACATTTCTGCTAATGAGATTTTAGTTTCACCAAAACTTAGTGAGACTATATACATCTTTTTGTTGAAAGCATTGGATTACATTTTTATATGTGCTTAAATTCTTACTGCCTGTAACATTTATTTTATCTTTAAATGTATATTTATGATACTTTTACTTTATCTTTTATGTATCAGATGTCATTTTATACTGGACCAATGTGTCTGAGAATAAAGTTCTCATAATAATCATAGTTCTGAACAAGCGAACAACTATTTGCAGTCATTAAACACACACACACACACACACACACACACACACACACACACACACGCACACACGCACACACGCACACACACACACACACACACACACACACACACACACACACACACACACACACACACACACATGCACACACACACACACACGCACACACGCACACACGCACACACACACACACACACACACACACACACACACACACACACACGCACACACGCACACACGCACACACGCACACACACACACACACACACACATGCACACACACACACACACGCACACACGCACACACGCACACACGCACACACACACACACACACACACACACACACACACACACACACACACACATTCAGTCATTTTTTAGTATCTCACTGGCAACTTGGCTCTGATTTATCAGTCCCACAATCTACAAATGAGTCAACACAAGCTTTCTGAACAAACTCCACCCTCACTTATTATTTACAACAGGGGGGTTTGCTCCTTGGAACAAACAAAAGCACAGCACATCCTGTTATTTTAAACATCCATCCCTGATCACATCTCAGACTTGAGCTAATCACCTGTCAGGTCATTCACAAGGTCTGAGTCATTATTGATGATTTTTGTCTTCAAGTTCCCAGAAAGGTACACTCAGCAGGACGAAGTACTCCCAATCTTTCTGGTCAGTTCAAGAGGAAGAACAAGCCTGAGTCACTTACTGGAGGTGTGAGAAGTGTGGGTGTCTGAATGGAGGAGTCTGTCTGACATTCACAAAGTAACACGGAGAACTTTCTTTCAGTAAAGCTTTACGTCCAGAGCAGCTGTTTAGTTTAGCTGTAGCTGTGCAGAAGAACGTGAGGAGACACTTCTGAGTGTGCTCCTTCAGCGTCCATGTTTTGGCTGCAGGGAGCTACCAGCTGTCACAGAAAAGCAGCTGGTCAGGAATTCAATTTTATTCATGCAGCCTCAGCTCAACCTTTTGCTAAAACACATTGCGGGATGTGAAGGAAATGTAAAATAATTAATCTCACATGTAATCCTGAAACTTAGAGCTAGTCAATCTTATAATAAACGTAATATCCATTTTGAGTGATTCAGCTATGATTTGTACATTTTTAAATTGCTTTATCTGATTCATGCATGCTCATATTGGTCTGAGTTTCGTCTTAGCTCAAGAAGAATCACTTCCATGTGAAGACCAGGCCTGGAGGTAATAAAAGTTGAACCTTAAAACTTTCCAATGGGATAGGCTGTATCAGGTGCTTCAGTGGTTTGCCTCATATCTCTCACACAGGAAACAGTGTGTGGTGTGGGATGGAGTTAAATCTCCATATTTAGACTGTGATACAGGAGTTCCTCAAGGATCTGTTCTTGGGCCTTTATTGTTCTCTCTTTTTATTAATAACTTACCTGAAGTCTGTCCAAATATTTGCTCAAATGTATGCGGATGATGCAGTTATATATACGTAAGCAAACAGAGTCCAGGGGGTGGCAAAAGATCTTACAGCTGCTTTAGCATTAATGCTTAGCTGGCTGGAGGACTCATGCCTATTGTTGAGCACCTCAAAAACTGTCTGTATGTATTTTTCAAAACGCCCCTTAAACTTGAAGCAGTCAAATATATTCCTGGATGGAGTAGAGCTTGATCTAGTACCAGAATTTAAATATCTTGGGGTCATTCTTGACCCAACATTATCCTTCAAGAGTCACATAATAAAGTGTCCCAGGTACTTAAATTTAATAATCGAAATTTTATTCATATACATAAAAAATTTAAATATGAATGTTGCAAAAACTTATTTTTACTCAATGATCATCTCTCATATGGACTATTGTTTGACATCCTGGCCACTTGCTTGTCCAACAACACTTAAAACTATTGAAAACATTTATAAAAGAAGTTTAAAATTACTTGACAAAAAAACGACTTCCCACCACCATTGTCATGTGTTAAAACAACATAAATTACTGAACTTCAATAACTTAATGAAACTTAAAAGAGTCTGTTTAATATATAAAGTCTTACACTCCCTTGCTCCACCACCACTAAAGCAGTTCATTAGGAATAAAGAAAGCTCAAACAGGACTACACGAGCTACAATTCGAGGAGAATTGTTTACACCACATAGACGGACAGCATTTGGGCAGAACGTCCTCTCTGTCAAGGGTGGCCGTCTGTGGAACAGTCTTCCTCAACCCACCAGAGAATGCTCGACTGTCCATTTGTTTAAGGCAAAGGTTAAAAACTGGTTATGGACAAATCAAGTGTGTGATCATGTATGAGTTGTATAGTTTCAATGTTTTATTTGTGAATAGAATGGTGTGTATGTGTAAGTTTGGTGATGGAGTTTTCATTATGAATGAATGATGATTTTTTATGAATTATTATGTCTTTTTATGTCTAAGGACAACAGGTGGAAATTAGCCTTTGGCTATAATCTGGCATGTTTACATTCATGTAAGCTGCTTTTACATTTATGTTCATTAACATGCACCATCCTAAATAAATAAATAAATAAATTCACATGGGCACGATAACACCAGGGCCAGATGCAGTCTCAACGACTCGTCTTCAGGGCAACATAGCCATAAAAAAATGTTGCTTTCCCAGACAACAGGTTTATGACCTTCAGCTGGGTTTGAGGAGGTCTCAGGCTCTGACTTCACATCAGAGCAGGATAATAAAATCTGTCCACCTTTAGGATCTAGTCAGGTTCTTCATGGACCGGGAGGTGAACCTGAATCTCCCCAAAGTATACACGGGTTACTAAATGAATGGATGAGTAAAGAGTGGAAGGGTTGAATCTTCAAGGCATGTATGGCTCTGTCTTCTTGTTTGATGAGAGATTCCAACGAACTTGAAGGCGAGGAGTTAGACCAAAGCCGATATCATCTTCTTCTGCGTCCTTTTTTCCTTTTAAATATGTTTATTTTTCCACAACAGATGCAGTGTTACATCGAATCTACACAAGGACAAATCAGCACAGCTTAGAAAATCCATTCTTACTTGTTAGAGCGCCTGTAGGTGTTTTATGTCTGCTACTTCATCACCATCAATGACCCATGTGAGCTCATCAATGAGCTGCTCTGATGCTGAGTGTGCACTGAAACAGTCTGGCAACAGCTCTCCCTGACCTGATGCAGGGTTTCCATGGTGACACAAGAATCTGCCAGACAGCGATGTGTCTGCCAGGATTACAGTCTCAGCACTGAGTCCTCTGAGCACGTGCATACACACAGCATGTGCACTTGCACATGTGGTGAAAGGAACTATGAGACTATGATATAAGAGCAACTTTTTATTTTACTTCAGCGTCTCACCTCAACGCCAGAGCTGTGAGACAGCAGAACAGATGGTTGAGTAAATGGTGAGAGACATCAGACGATGGAGGGTGAGCCAGTAGTGAATCAATCAATCAATCAGATTTATTTATAAAGCGCTTTTCAAGCAAAGTGCTACTCAAAGTGCTTTACAAAATGACCCCAGATTCCCATAACAGGTTAAAAACATTAACAGACATATGCAAACACACACACACACACACACACACACACACACACACACACACACACACACACACACACACACACACACACACACACACACACAAGTAAAAATTATATTTGGCTGAGTCCAGATGAGCCAAGTAAGGTAAGGCAAGGAAACGCCATCAGAGGAGCCGTCTGCCCCCGCAGCATCAGGTCTTCCACACTAAGTCAGGGCGCTCAGTGGAGGGGGAGCATAGACCCCCACCTATAGATCGCCCAGGAAGCTACAGTCAACCACCGCTCCCGGGGCAGAGGGCCCCTACAGAGGAAACACTGGATTAAAATGAGTAAAAATATAATAAAAGAGCTAATATAAGGGACAAAAGTTAGAAAATAAATAATAAATAAAATCTTATAGACAGTAAAATAATAATATTAAATAATAAAACTGTGCTAAAATATAATCATATAAAACATGCAACGCAAGTAATAAAATGTAATCATGTAAAACGAGGAATAAAACAGTAGTAAATATTTAGATACCATGAATCCTCTAATATTAGCCTGTATTCAATTAACGGC